CTGGTAGGTGTGATGGTAGCAGCAGATTTAGTGGTGGAAACAGAGGACGGGGTAGATAAAGCAACAGAAGTTGTGACTTTAGCATAAGAGGTAACGACCACTACCGCAGAAGTAGCTGCTGAGTCTGTTTTAGAATTTGTGTTGGGCACTGTGGAAATTGTAGAGGAAACCACAGTCATTATGGTAGCTGCAGTTGACACCAGCTTATTTAATACATTAGGGGTGGTGGAACTGGAAGTTGGTTGATTTACTGATGGAGTCTTGACTTCATTCCTCGAGTCGAGGAGGGCATTTTCGGTGGCAGCGCTCACTGTTTCGTCCATGGCAGAGTCAGTTGTGGACAAAGCAGGACTGGACGAGAGAACATCATGGCTGTGGTTGAGAGCTGCCCCTGATGTTGTGACGGCCGTTGAGATGGAATTTGGAATGAGACCCATCGTGGCCGTCCTTCTTGTCCGAGGCTTGATGATGTCATTAGTGTGAGTCGCCACCATAGACTTATATGTCGCCACCCTGTTGGTCGACGTGACCGGGACTCTTAACATAGAGATCTGCCGGGTGGTCCTACTATGGGTCCTCATAGTGTTTGAGGAGGAGTGTGTGTTTATTATTGTTATAGGGGCTGTTCTGATGGCGTGGGTGTATGCCACAGGTTTGTGTGTGGATGAATACATTGTGGGGGTTGAGATGGTGGTGGAACCTAGAAGAAAGCGGAGTTATTGTGAATAGACTTATACACATGGTTGTAATATCATTAGATAACATTGAAATAAATTCAAGATACTGTATGCGTTCCATAAGTAATAATTCTAACCCAGCCCAGGTGTTCTTCAATGGAAGATTTAATAATTTTACCCTCAGTTCCAGACACCGCTGTGCTTTGATATGGGTGTTACTTCCTAAATGAAACACACTGTATGCTCACAACGCCGTATCAATATGTTAATAGCATGGTAATAGATGGTTTATTGTCATGTAAAAAAAAAAAAAAAGTTATTCATCTTTTTAACAAAAAAGTAAAATTAGGTTAAATAAATAGCTGGGTATTGGTTTTATTGGTCACACTATATTTGGATAGTCCATCTGTAGATGCTGTACAGATGGTCATACTATCAACAAACTATCTGTTGATAAGCAACTCAGTTAGGGGAGGGTTTGGCCGGGTTAGGGAAGGGTTTGGCCGGGGTAGGGGAGGGTTTGGCCGGGGTAGGCCGTCATTGTAAATAATATTTTTTTCTTAACTGACTTGCCTAGTTAAATAAAGATTAAATAAAAAAATAAGCAACTGCTTGCTAAGGTTATGATTAGGGTTAGGGTAAGGGTTAAGGTTAGAGTTAGGGCTAGCGTTAGGGTAAAGGTTAGAGTTAGGGCTAGCGTTAGGGTAAGGGTTAGAGTTAGGGATAGCGTTAGGGTAAGGGTTAAGGTTAAAGTTAGGGCTAGCGTTAGGGTAAGGGTTAAGGTTAAGTTAGGGCTAGCGTTAGGGTAAGGGTGGTTTGAAAGTTACGGGCTAGCGTTCGGGTAAGGGTTAAAGTTAGGGATAGCGTTAGGGGTTGTAGGGTTAAGGTTAAAGTTAGGGTAGCGTTGGGGTAAGGGTTAAGGTTTTTAAGTTATAGGGCTAGCGTTAGGGTAAGGGTTAAGTTAGAGTAGGGCTAGGCATTGAGGGTAAGGGTTAGAGTTAGGGATAGCGTTAGGGTAAGGGTTAAGGTTAAAGTTACGGCTAGCGTTAGGGTAAGAGTTAAGGTTAAAGTTACGGTTAGCGTTAGCGTTAGGGTAAGGGTTAAGGTTAAAGTTACGGCTAGCGTTAGGGTAAGGGTTAAGGTTAAAGTTACGGCTAGCGTTAGGGTAAGGGTTAAGGTTAAAGTTAGGGCTAGCGTTAGGGTAAGGGTTAAGGTTAAAGTTAGGGCTAGCATTAGGGTAAGGGTCAAGGGTAAAGTTAGCACTAGGGCTAGTGTTAGGGTAAGGGTTAAGTTTTGGGTTAGGATAAGGGTTAAGGTTAGGGTTAGGGCTAGGGTTAGGGTTAGTAGATAGTTAGTTGAAATGTTACTGATAGTCTGTAGAGCATCTACAGATGGACTATCAAAACAATTAAGTGTTACCGTTTTATTATGTGATAACAGGTGGCCTGAATAAACGTTTATTGTAAATAAACATTAAACAATACCAGTTAGGCTTACATTGTAGCATGTGTATTTTTTAAAAATCAATTGTGAACTTGAGAGCCTCTCCTATGTCCCCTGCATGGCCATTAAGTTCACAGGAAGAACACTGCTGACTTCCTGACTGAGTGAGTGGGCTGATAAAACTTGACAACAACGTGCAGGAAAGTCAGTATCAAGAGCGTCATCCTTTCCTCAAGCATTCACACCATACCAACGTCAGACAAGTCCAAAGTCGACATGGTGCAAGTCATTTAGATACATATCTTATCTGAGTGATAATTCTGCTCTTTTTTTAATGAAAAATCCGTTGCATTACTCTAAACTAGGTAAATTATGTCATAACAAGTTTGTTGGGCCCATATAGAGATAGGCTACTAATTCTGTAGTTGGGCCTTATCATTTTACAAGACGTTCTCTTATCAAACTTCAGAGGAGAGGAAATAAAAAATATCCATAAAGTTCAAGGCTACTATATAGGCCTGCCTACTTATAATTGATGTAAGGTAGTTGAATGCACAGAAACGGACTATTATCTGAATGCAAACGAACAGAAGGCATATAGCCCAATTCCCCCGTAGACCACTCACCTTTACGCGGGCATAAATGGGTCATCACCTGTCTCCCTCCTGAGTAGATTTCCTCGTACTTAGTCCAGTTGGAATACCTCTGGTCCCCTCGGATCACAACGCGTATACCTTGTTTCTTCAGGTACATGGGCTTTTCCGCTAACCCGAAAGTACCTCGTTTGTCGTAACATTTCCAGGCAGGTGCGCTGTCACAGTTGCTGATCGAGGCCAGGCGCGCGTGCCGAGGTATTGCACTGCTCGTGTTGGCCCAGAGACACTTGGATGATTGTGTGTGATGCAACTTCATATCGTTCGTCCATTCCCATTGTTGATAGGGACTGGTGACATTGCATTTGCCGAGGATGACAGTCGTTTTGTGTGTAGACAGGCACAATTTCTTTGGTGTGTGCACAATAAGGAAACCGTCTAAATGGAAGATACAAAGAGATGGAGAATCAATGGTGGGGAGACTAACAATCATTGAAAGGCTGAATAACTAATGTTCCAAAAACGAATTAGTACCAAATTATTCTTATTTGGAAAGCAATTTAGTGATGTAATGTTTGAAATGCTTAAGGCCCAACATTTCTCAAATACCTACGGGCTACAAAAAGCTGTTAAATCAGTTCTCAAAAGGCAACAGTTTTATTCGATTCCAACTAGTTAATTTTCTTTGGTTGTAACTTAATAAAGTATGTAAAATGTACGTTATTGTTATTAACGAATAATCCCTCATCTCAAACCTTCTGAGTGAATGTATTAGGCTAAAGCTGTCCGTTAAATAATATCATGGTCAATATGAGGTGAAATAAATATGTTCTTTGCCAAAGAATGAACCATTTATTGTTACAGTGAGATAGCCTACTTTTATCATAATATTTGGAATAACCTCAATCAAAAAATTAGTTTACTGACTGACCCTTCCCTGTATAGACAAGGATGAACTAAAGTTTCCGTTGTTGACTACCTTCACGCGCCATAAATGTGGTTATTAGCCTACTCTAATAATCAGCAAGATAATTAACCGACCACTTCACACTTTAAAAGACAGACTACTTACTTGTCGAAGAGCATCGAAAAAGTACAAACGATAACGAAAAACAAAGTATCCATTTTAGTCTACAAGTTGTAACGGTTTAACGCTTCCGCTAGATTCAGATGAGTTGAGGCGTCGAAGGGAAGTTGCCTTCTGGGGAGGACAAAGTCAGTGACCAGCGCTTCCTTCTATTCAATTGTTTTTGTGGTTTCATATTAAAGTACCCTTCAGCACTGGACATCGACAGGGAAATGCTCTTCTATCGGAAATACCAAAGAACATCGCAGATGTTCAAGTGTTCAGATAGCAGGCAAACAGATGCAATGTGGGGACACAGGTTTATATACCCTGGATAGATGGTATACGATGCATTGTGCGTGATGCGTAGCTACCCAAGTTTAGAATATTCACAACATAAGAAAAAATGACAAGAAAAATGTTTGATATTTTTCAGTGTAGGCATTTTATTATTTAGTGTAGCCAACAGCACATCACCAAACCCAGTTATTATCATATTCACAATTCAATTTCACATTGGTCAATTATTTGTTAATGTCACAATTTCCCAAATGTTACACTTAGACCTAATTCAAAACAAATCTGGAAGCCTATTGGAGTTATTGTATTTTTTATGCATTGCAATATGGTTGCTGTAACAGTTGTGTTCAAAGTCAACTTACCTAGTAAAGTAATTAACAGAGTAAATCATTACATCATACAGCTATTTACAACTGTACATTTACCAGTTATTTTTCTGGTTTCAGTGACAGTGTCAAATGATTACCATCTCTAGCTCAACCCAGTGTGCCCACCGTGTTCTTCTGGCCTCCTCCAGCTGACAGACAGACAGTGATTAACCTCATGGCTTGACAGACTTAAATCATGCCAGCCCTACACACAAACACAAATGAACACATATTACCATTGGCCTATGAGCATTAAAATACAAGGCAGTTGAAACATTGGTATGGTATCTCTATGGGTGACAACACAACACAAAACTGAGGAAACCAGACTGCATATGCTTCCACATTTTGTTTACATGCACAAAATCATTGATTGTGAAAGGGTAATAGAGAAAGGGATGGACTGGGAAGTGGTGAAAGAGCGCGAAATAATGAGAAACTCGGAATAAGGGCTACAACACTTGTTTGGAGAGCCCCAGAGAATCTCCTGGGTCAGCAGAGTTTTGGGGCCTTCGCTCAGGCTCTGCTCTTTTTTCCTGCTCTTATCTCCAGTAGGAGTGGGTTCTTTGTGGGACAGGGCCCTAAATCCCCCCCCCGTCTCATCTCTTTCCCCTGCGGAACACTCTCCCCCTCCCTGACTTCCTGTGCTAGTCCTGTGCTAGTCAGGGGAGAGAGGAGGAGAGGAGGGGAGGAGGAGAGGGGAGAGCTCTCTCTCTCTCTCTCTCTCTAAGCAGGACATCTCCTCCACCCTTCCTCCACATCCTCCTGTCAGCCTCCATCCACCGTACTTGTCAACCTTCAAATGTCACCGACACATGAAGCACTAACCTGTCCTGGACCTTCACTCATTGGCACATGTTGTTAGAAAGCTCACATTTGTTGAGTTTTTTGTATCTAATTTTGTATCCAACTTAAAAGTGAACAGTTAGTCTGTGAGAGTTTTTGTTGTTGTTGCTGATTTAGAGGTCCAACACAGAAAACGTTAGTAAGCAGCGATTCTTACAGAAAATACTGCTGTTAAATATCTGAACTAAACCGCAACAACCCACAGACACCCAGCACTGCAGTGGAGATTTCTGCTTCACAAAGGAAAAAAATCTGCTTTCACACTATTTCTGAAAAGAACCTAAGAAACTCAATCAGATCCACTTTAGCCCGACATCCGCATAGCGGTTCTTTTGGTGGTGTCGGAGGTGCAACTGCGCTTAGAGCGGTCAAATCCACAAGCATCTCTGTGCATTAAGGCCGGTTAAGGCTATCATGGACACTTCCATTGGACGCAACGAAACCACACCCGACTATAATCCAACAGATCCCATGCAGCCGTGTTACAAGTTCATGCAGCCGCTTTACAAGTTCAAACACTCAAATTAGACTGATAGGCTACGATCCCCCCATCCAAATTAACAGGAAAACATGCATCAGCCTAACATCAATGGTTTGACATTTGAGAGTCATTATTTCTAACATGGATAGAGCCTACACTTCCTGGTACCCTTTTGAACTTCTAATGCAGTAGGGATAATAAGGATAGGAGTGGTTTGTGACACACAACAGCAGCCGCTCCCCGATTTGTCAGCTCATACCGCAGTTACACCTCCAACACCGTCAAAACATCAGCTATGCGGATCCGGCCAACGCTGGTTAACGCTAGTTAACGCTCGATCTGATTGAATCCAGGCCTAAAGGCTGCCACTCCTCTACAACAACATCCACAAACCAACCAGCATACAAAGACAGCTTCTATTGTTTCAGAGATCTATAGTTACCCTTACCATCTCACTCACACTCAGTGTAACACAAGGTCACAAATATGCACCTACATTGCATCTGTCTGTCTGTCAGTTATTTGTATGTCCTCTCCTCCCTTTTCCGGTATGTCCTGGTCGGGTCCCTAAAGTCCCACTATGGTTTCCTGCTCATCCCTGTGTCTCATCTCTGTGTCCAGACTGACACAAAATCACCCCTCTGGCAGGTATGCAGCTCAGTTTAGTCGATCACAACATACTGTTAATGGACAGTGAGCTAGGCTGTAGTACCAGTTTCAATAGAGGGATGACAGTACAGTAACTGAGAGAATGTTGTATGATAGCAAATCTTGACTTACGATGGTGATGCGTTTGTAAGGTACTCTTATCCGCTTATCCCTTATGCTGCAAAGGGAGAAGCACCTGTAAAAAATAAATAAATCATATGGTTATTTTAACACGGCATATTCACCTATTTTTGTACAACTAAATTCCTTTGTAAAATACATTTTCAAATGATTTCCAAAAGTAAGATAAAGCAACATACATTCTTCTTGAAGTGCGTCTTGACACAGTGGCTAGTGTGAGATATAGGCTGGTCCGGTCTCTCCAGGTCTCAGGCTCCTTGTCTCCTCCCTGTCGACCCATTGTGTTCTGCCTGTGAGAGCAGAGAGCTAAGAGGTCAGAGAGACAGTGGCGGGTCCCAGTCCCACGGGGCCAGATAAATGGAGGGAGAGGGTGGAGGGGTGGAGGGGAGTTGGTGCGCTCCTATGCTGAGCCAGGGCGGTCCCTGGGTTGCCCCCCTCCTCCCTCTCTCTCTCTCTCCTTTTCTTTTAGCCCCCTTCTCTCTCCCTCTCGCTTTCTCTTTCCTTCCCCCTATCCCTCTCTCTCTCTTTTGTACCCAGCCTTGCCAGTCTGTTCCTACCACTCTAGTGCCAAGGTCTAGAGATAGGGATGGAGAATAGCATGGTTGGTGAATCGGAAGTTCCACCCTCTACAGGAAGACATGCTGTGTAACCCTGGTCTGTCTACATAGACCCCAGAGCTCTGGACTCTGGACACACAGACCTCCAGAGCTTTAGCCCGAGCACAGAGACCCCCAGAGTGCTAACCCTGAGCACAGAGACCCCCAGAGGGCTAACCCTGAGCACAGAGACCCCCAGAGCGCTAACCCTGAGCACAGAGACCCCCAGAGGGCTAACCCTAAGCACAGAGACCTCCAGAGCGCTAACCCTGAGCACAGAGACCCCCAGAGGGATAACCCTGAGCACAGAGACCCCCAGAGCTCTAACTCCAAGCACAGAGACCCCCAGAAAGCTAACTCTAGACAGACAGACAGAGAACCCAGACTACACTGTTCAAGTTGTGTCTACAATTTCCCAACTTGGTCCTCAACCCCCAGGTGTTGCACGTGTTAGATACCAGCACTAGGCTAGTGAGGGAAGCAGCGTGATGCTCAGTGGACTAGTTGATACCAGCACTAGAATGGTGAGGGAAGCAGCGTGATGCTCAGTGGACTAGTTGATACCAGCACTAGGCTAGTGAGGGAAGCAGCTTGATGCTCAGTGGACTAGTTGAATCAGGTACAGTGGGGAAAAAAAGTATTTAGTCAGCCACCAATTGTGCAAGTTCTCCCACTTAAAAAGATGAGAGAGGCCTGTAATTTTCATCATAGGTACACGTCAACTATGACAGACAAATTGAGAAAAAGAAATCCTGAAAATCACATTGTAGGATTTTTAATGAATTTATTTGTAAATTATGGTGGAAAATAAGTATTTGGTCACCTACAAACAAGCAAGATTTCTGGCTCTCACAGACCTGTAACTTCTTCTTTAAGAGGCTCCTCTGTCCTCCACTCGTTACCTGTATTAATGGCACCTGTTTGAACTTGTTATCAGTATAAAAGACACCTGTCCACAACCTCAAACAGTCACACTCCAAACTCCACTATGGCCAAGACCAAAGAGCTGTCAAAGGACACCAGAAACAAAATTGTAGACCTGCACCAGGCTGGGAAGACTGAATCTGCAATAGGTAAGCAGCTTGGTTTGAAGAAATCAACTGTGGGAGCAATTATTAGGAAATGGAAGACATACAAGACCACTGATAATCTCCCTCGATCTGGGGCTCCACGCAAGATCTCACCCCGTGGGGTCAAAATGATCACAAGAACGGTGAGCAAAAATCCCAGATCCACACGGGGGGACCTAGTGAATGACCTGCAGAGAGCTGGGACCAAAGTAACAAAGCCTACCATCAGTAACACATTACGCCGCCAGGGACTCAAATCCTGCAGTGCCAGATGTGTCCCCCTGCTTAAGCCAGTACATGTCCAGGCCCGTCTGAAGTTTGCTAGAGTGTATTTGGATGATCCAGAAGAGGATTGGGAGAATGTCATATGGTCAGATGAAACCAAAATAGAACTTTTTGGTAAAAACTCAACTCGTCGTGTTTGGAGGACAAAGAATGCTGAGTTGCATCCAAAGAACACCATACCTACTGTGAAGCATGGGGGTGGAAACATCATGCTTTGGGGCTGTTTTTCTGCAAAGGGACCAGGACGACTGATCCGTGTAAAGGAAAGAATGAATGGGGCCATGTATCGTGAGATTTTGAGTGAAAACCTCCTTCCATCAGCAAGGGCATTGAAGATGAAACGTGGCTGGGTCTTTCAGCATGACAATGATCCCAAACACACCGCCCGGGCAACGAAGGAGTGGCTTCGTAAGAAGTATTTCAAGGTCCTGGAGTGGCCTAGCCAGTCTCCAGATCTCAACCCCATAGAAAATCTTTGGAGGGAGTTGAAAGTCTGTGTTGCCCAGCGACAGCCCCAAAACATCACTGCTCTAGAGGAGATCTGCATGGAGGAATGGGCCAAAATCAATCAATCAATCAATTTTATTTTATATAGCCCTTCTTACATCAGCTAATATCTCGAAGTGCTGTACAGAAACCCAGCCTAAAACCCCAAACAGCTAGTAATGCAGGTGTAGAAGCACGGTGGCTAGGAAAAAACTCCCTAGAAAGGCAAAACCTAGGAAGAAACCTAGAGAGGAACCAGGCTATGAGGGGTGGCCAGTCCTCTTCTGGCTGTGCCGGGTGGAGATTATAACAGAACCATGCCAAGATGTTCAAAAATGTTCATAAGTGACAAGCATGGTCAAATAATAATCAGGAATAAATCTCAGTTGGCTTTTCATAGCCGATCATTAAGAGTTTAAAACAGCAGGTCTGGGACAGGTAGGGGTTCCATAACCGCAGGCAGAACAGTTTAAACTGGAATAGCAGCAAGGCCAGGCGGACTGGGGACAGCAAGGAGTCACCACGGCCGGTAGTCCCGACGTATGGTCCTAGGGCTCAGGTCTCTCAGTTGGCTTTTCATAGCCGATCATTAAGAGTTGAAAACAGCAGGTCTGGGACAGGTAGGGGTTTCGTAGCCGCAGGCAGAACAGTTGAAACTGGAATAGCAGCAAGGCCAGGCGGACTGGGGACAGCAAGGTGTCAAAATACCAGCAACAGTGTGTGAAAACCTTGTGAAGACTTACAGAAAACGTTTGACCTGTGTCATTGCCAACAAAGGGTATATAACAAAGTATTGAGAAACTTTTGTTATTGACCAAATACTTATTTTCCACCATAATTTGCAAATGAATTCATAAAAAATCCTACAATGTGATTTTCTGGATTTTTTTTCTTCTCATTTTGTCTGTCATAGTTGACGTGTACCTATGATGAAAATTACAGGCCTCTCGCATCTTTTTAAGTGGGAGAACTTGCACAATTGGTGGCTGACTAAATACTTTTTTTCCCCACTGTATTACCAGGTGTGCTAGTGCTATAATTATTTGTTCTATTCACCCGTTGAAACCTGGTGATTATGTACAACAATTGGAGGTCCCTAAGGACAGGGATGGGAAACACTGGAAACACCGTCCACATACAATGCTATGGTGGTCCAATAACAAAACTGTCTGCAGCCATTTCATTAAATAAGTGATCAGGCTAATGGGGCCCTGTGGCTGGGCAGACCATCCCTTCTCACTCCATGTTATTTCAACTAGTCCTCCTGAAATGGTGGGAAAGTAAACTCATCATGTCCCATGTTAACCTCACACACTCAATCACACACACACACACACACACACACACACACACACACACACACACACACACACACACACACACACACACACACACACACACACACACACACACACACACACACACACACACACACACACACACCTTTGCTTTAATGGGAGTCATAAAGCGCTTCCTCCTTGTCATTCAGTCCGGTCCAGGCAGGGTTTGGCTGCTAATGCTAGCAGCTCAGGAAATCTCCTGTTCCTCTGCAATAAGCCATTTCCTGGTTCAATCAGAGTCTGGTGACCTTGTGCACACATCCACACCCTGACCTATGAACCCTGAGGAGGGCTGGAGAGAGATGGATGAACCAAACTGTCTGTCTCTGTGATGATGGGGCAGAGAGCCCAACATAGCAAGCTGGCTGTATTAGTGTACTAGGTCAAATACATTTGTGCCTTAGTTCTAATGATATTGTTTACATTGTGAAGTACTTGACATGTTGTCACTGCTGAGGAGCTGTTGAGGTGTATTGCATTACAAGTGATCTGGGATTACAATTTGATTACTTGTCGATAAAACATTCCAGGTATTCTCTGGTGGTAGAAGAAGGGAGGAGAGAGGAGGAGGAGGGGAGAGGAGGGGAAAGGGGACTAGGAAAGGAGGAGGTGACCCCTCTCCTCTGGCCATCCAGACTGATGACTGAGACAGAGCACACAGAGCACAGCTTACATCCTGGTGTTCTGGTCAGGAAACGACCTGACACGCACTCCTGTCCCAGCCTTTCCCCTTTTATAATCAGGCAGAGTTGCCCTAGCATGTCTAGGGGTCCTGATAACATCCTTGTGAGTCTGCAGGTCATCCCTTGGTCCATCTCCACAGGCCATATTGGCTTCCTCTTATTGACCTTTCATGTGAAATGTTGAGGTCTATCTTATATTTTTTATTTTTTATTTTTTTATATTAAAACATACAATCTACTTGCAGCGAAGCTGGTCAACATCTACATCACATTAGTCATCTAACAGACTCCCATCCAGAGCGACCCACAGAAGCAACCAGGGTCAACGCCCTGCTCAAGGGCACGTCGACAGATCTCCCACAAGGTCAAAAATGGGGACACGAACCAGCGACCTATCAGCCACCGGCCCAAGCTCTTAACTGCCAGGCCACCAGCCCTCCAAGATCCCCCCCACAGTTCCCCGAGAGCTGCCTCTCAACCATCTGAGACCCCCCCCCCCCCCCCCCCCAATATAATTCCATTCCACACCCACAAGACCCCACCAATGCACCAACAAGCAACATATAGGCTGGTTAGAAGGCTGCCTAGAAGGTCAGCATCCCGGAGTCGCCTCTTCACTGTTGACGTTGAGACTGGTGTTTTGCGGGTACTATTTAATGAAGCTGCCAGTTGAGGATCTGTGAGGCATCTGTTTCTCAAACTAGACACTCTAATGTATTTGTCCTCTTGCTCAGTTGTGCACCGGGGCCTCCCACTCCTCTTTCTATTCTGGTTAGAGCCAGTTTGCGCTGTTCTGTGAAGGGAGTAGTACACAGCGTTGTACGAGATCTTCAGTTTCTTGGCAATTTCTCGCATGGAATAGCCTTCATTTCTCAGAACAAGAATAGACTGACGAGTTTCAGGAGAAAGTTTCTGGCCACTTTGAGCTTGTAATCGAACCGACAATTGCTGATGCTCCAGATGCTCAACTAGTCTCAAGAAGGCCAGTTTTATTGCTTCTTTAATCAGCACAACAGTTTTAAGCTGTGCTAACATAATTGCAAAAGGGTTTTCTAATGATCAATTAGCCTTTTAAAATGATAAACTTGGATTAGCAAACACAACGTGCCATTGGAACACAGGACTGATGGTTGCTGATAATGGGCCTCTGTACGCCTATGTAGATATTCCATAAAAAATCAGCCGTTTCCAGCTACAATAGGCATTTACAACATTAACAATGTCTACACTGTATTTCTGATCAATTTGATGTTATTTTAATGGACAAAAAAAATGATTTTCTTTCGAAAACAAGGACATTTCTAAGTGACCCCAAACTTTTGAATGGTAGTGTATATTTAGCACCCCTACTTTGTAAAAGTGCTAGGTGGCTAGTATTACAGAGAAACAACAAAACATTTTCGTTTGATTTATTCTTCAAGAAATCAATAGGCTACATAACTTAATCAAATTCATTTTCAAACATACAGTGGGGGAAAAAAGTATTTAGTCAGCCACCAATTGTGCAAGTTCTCCCACTTAAAAAGATGAGAGAGGCCTGTCATTTTCATCATAGGTACACGTCAACTATGACAGACAAAATGAGAAAAAAAAATCCAGAAAATCACATTGTAGGATTTTTAATGAATTTATTTGCAAATTATGGTGGAAAATAAGTATTTGGTCAATAACAAAAGTTTCTCAATACTTTGTTATATACCCTTTGTTGGCAATGACACAGGTCAAACGTTTTCTGTAAGTCTTCACAAGGTTTTCACACACTGTTGCTGGTATTTTGGCCCATTCCTCCATGCAGATCTCCTCTAGAGCAGTGATGTTTTGGGGCTGTCGCTGGGCAACACAGACTTTCAACTCCCTCCAAAGATTTTCTATGGGGTTGAGATCTGGAGACTGGCTAGGCCACTCCAGGACCTTGAAATGCTTCTTACGAAGCCACTCCTTCGTTGCCCGGGCGGTGTGTTTGGGATCATTGTCATGCTGAAAGACCCAGCCACGTTTCATCTTCAATGCCCTTGCTGATGGAAGGAGGTTTTCACTCAAAATCTCACGATACATGGCCCCATTCATTCTTTCCTTTACACGGATCAGTCGTCCTGGTCCCTTTGCAGAAAAACAGCCCCAAAGCAGGATGTTTCCACCCCCATGCTTCACAGTAGGTATGGTGTTCTTTGGATGCAACTCAGCATTCTTTGTCCTCCAAACACGACGAGTTGAGTTTTTTACCAAAAAGTTCTATTTTGGTTTCATCTGACCATATGACATTCTCCCAATCCTCTTCTGGATCATCCAAATGCACTCTAGCAAACTTCAGACGGGCCTGGACATGTACTGGCTTAAGCAGGGGGACACGTCTGGCACTGCAGGATTTGAGTCCCTTGCGGCGTAGTGTGTTACTGATGGTAGGCTTTGTTACTTTGGTCCCAGCTCTCTGCAGGTCATTCACTAGGTCCCCCCGTGTGGTTCTGGGATTTTTGCTCACCGTTCTTGTGATCATTTTGACCCCACGGGGTGAGATCTTGCGTGGAGCCCCAGATCGAGGGAGATTATCAGTGGTCTTGTATGTCTTCCATTTCCTAATAATTGCTCCCACAGTTGATTTCTTCAAACCAAGCTGCTTACCTATTGCAGATTCAGTCTTCCCAGCCTGGTGCAGGTCTACAATTTTGTTTCTGGTGTCCTTTGACAGCTCTTTGGTCTTGGCCATAGTGGAGTTTGGAGTGTGACTGTTTGAGATTGTGGACAGGTGTCTTTTATACTGATAAAAAGTTCAAACAGGTGCCATTAATACAGGTAACGAGTGGAGGACAGAGGAGCCTCTTAAAGAAGAAGTTACAGGTCTGTGAGAGCCAGAAATCTTGCTTGTTTGTAGGTGACCAAATACTTATTTTCCACCATAATTTGCAAATAAATTCATAAAAAATCCTACAATGTGATCTTCTGGATTTTTTCCTCTCATTTTGTCTGTCATAGTTGACGTGTACCTATGATGACAATTACAGGCCTCTCTCATCTTTTTAAGTGGGAGAACTTGCACAATTGGTGGCTGACTAAATACTTCCCCCCCCCACTGTACCTCCTGCAATTCCTGCCCATCATCAATAGCTAAAATCAAATCATATGCTGTGTCACTACACTTTCTCTCCTCCTCCACTGACAATATCATAATAAATAATTATGATAAAACGTGGGCTTGAAAATGAAGTTTAGCATGGCAGCTCTGTATCATTTGACCATGAAACAGATGAAGACTAAAGGACTGTAAGTTATTTATAATGAGGGATACCTGGAGAAAATCTGACCTCTCTGAAATGAAAATGGATGGCCCTCCCTTCAGTAAAATATAATTTTTTACCTGACCCTCCCTGAACGCTTAAAAAATATATAAAAAAAGTTACCCTCCCCTATATCTAAAATAATAATTCAAACAGTGGATAGCAGATAATATGCCTGCCATTTACCCTCACTCCGAGGACAGACCAGAGCCTTAGATGTTCAGTTTTAGAAACTGTTCTTTGTTTTGTAAGTGTTACATGGCAAAGTAGCCTGAAGGTTGTGGATTCGCAAACCACTGTGGACAAGGGTAGGGGTGAAAAAATCCCCATTATTGAGAAAAAGCCATTCGTTTTTAACACAGCAACCGCATAGGCCTATATGCACTTGCAACATTTTTTTTAATTTGGGAAACTGTCATTTTATTTTATTTTATATACAGTACCAGTCTAAAGTTTGGACACACCTACTCATTCAAGGGTTTTTCTTTATGTTTACTATTTTCTACATTGTAGAATAATAGTGAAGACATCAAAACTATGAAATAACACATATGGAATCATGTAGTAACCCAAAAAGTGTTAAAAAAATCAAAATATATTTGAGATTCTTCAAATAGCCACCAGTTGCCTTGATGACAGCTTTGCACACTCTTGGCATTCTCTCAACCAGCTTCACCTGGAATGCTTTTCCAACAGTCTTGAAGGTGTTCCCACATATGCTGAGCACTTGTTGGCTGTTTTTCCTTCACGCTGCGGTCTAACTTATCCCAACCCATCTCAATTTGGTTGAGGTCGGGGGATTGTGGAGGCCAGGTCATCTGATGCAAATCAAATCAAATCAAATCAAATTTTATTGGCCACATGCGTCGAATACAACAGGTGCAGACATTACAGTGAAATGCTTACTTACAGCCCTTAACCAACAGTGCATTTATTTTTAATAAAAAAGTAAAATAAAACAACAACAAAAATGTGTTGAGAAAAAAAAGAGCAGAAGTAAAATAAAATAACAGTAGGGAGGCTATATATCCAGGGGGGTACCGGTGCAGAGTCAATGTGCGGGGGCACCGGCTAGTTGAGGTAGTTGAAGTAATATGTACATGTGGGTAGGGTTAAAGTGACTATGCATAAATAATTAACAGAGTAGCAGCAGCGTAAAAAGATGGGGTGGGGGGGCAGTGCAAATAGTCCGGGTAGCCATGATTAGCTGTTCAGGAGTCTTATGGCTTGGGGGTAGAAGCTGTTGAGAAGTCTTTTGGACCTAGACTTGGCACTCCGGTACCGCTTGCCGTGCGGTAGCAGAGAGAACAGTCTATGACTAGGGTGGCTGGAGTCTTTGACAATTTTGAGGGCCTTCCTCTGACACCGCCTGGTATAGAGGTCCTGGATGGCAGGAAGCTTGGCCCCAGTGATGTACTGGGCCGTACGCACTACCCTCTGTAGTGCCTTGCGGTCGGAGGCCAAGCAGTTGCCATACCAGGCGTTGATGCAACCAGTCAGGATGCTCTCGATGGTGCAGCTGTAGAATTTTTTGAGGATCTGAGGACCCATGCTGAATCTTTTCAGTCTCCTGAGGGGGAATAGGCTTTGTCGTGCCCTCTTCACAACTGTCTTGGTGTGTTTGGACCATGATAGTTCGTTGGTGATGTGGACACCAAGGAACTTGAAGCTCTCAACCTGTTCCACTACAGCCCCGTCGATGAGAATGGGGGCGTGCTCAGTCCTCTTTTTTTTCCTATAGTCCACAATCATCTCCTTTGTCACGTTGAGGGAGAGGTTGTTATCCTGGCACCACACGGCCAGGTCTCTGACCTCCTCCCTATAGGCTGTCTCATCGTTGTCGGTGATCAGGCCTACTACTGTTGTGTCGTCGGCAAACTTAAAGATGGTGTTGGAGTCGTGCCTGGCCATGCAGTCATGGGTGAACAGGGAGTACAGGAGGGGACTGAGCACGCACCCCTGAGGGGCCCCCGTGTTGAGGATCAGTGTGGCAGATGTGTTGTTACCTAGCCTTACCACCTGGGGGCGGCCCGTCAGGAAGTCCAGGATTCAGTTGCAGAGGGAGGTGTTTAGTCCCAGGATCCTTAGCTTAGTGATGAGCTTTGAGGGCACTATGGTGTTGAATGCTGAGCTGTAGTCAATGAATAGCATTCTCACGTAGGTGTTCCTCTTGTCCAGGTGGGAAAGGGCAGTGTGGAGTGCAATAGAGATTGCATCATCTGTGGATCTGTTGGGGCGGTATGCAAATTGGAGTGGGTCTAGGGTTTCTGGGATAATGGTGTTGATGTGAGCCATGACCAGCCTTTCAAAGCACTTCATGGCTACAGACGTCAGTGCTACGGGTTGGTAGTCATTTAGGCAGGTTATCTTAGTGTCCTTGGGCACGGGGACTATGGTGGTCTGCTTGAAACATGTTGGTATTACAGACTCAGTCAGGGACATGTTGAAAATGTCAGTGAAGACACTTGCCAGTTGGTCAGCACATGCTCGAAGTACACGTCCTGGTAATCCGTCTGGCCCTGCGGCCTTGTGAATGTTGACCTGCTTAAAAGTCTTACTCACATCGGCTACGGAGAGCGTGATCACATAGTCATCCAGAACAGCTGGTGCTCTCATGCATGCTTCAGTGTTGCTTGCCTCGAAGCGAGCATAGAAGTGGTTTAGCTTGTCTGGTAGGTAACTCTGGGTCTTCCATTCCTGTGGCGGTCCTCAGTTAAATATGACATTTAACTGATTACAAATTATATGACCCTCCCCTGGACTAACAAAAAAACAAAAATAAACCCTCCCCCTGACTGAAATTTTAAAAGCATGATCCTCCCATTTTCCTTTGGGTAACAATTGCGTAAATCTTGACCGCTCCATAACTTCTAAAGCCACCAACAGGCTATTGCTCTGTCCTCACTAATGTTCCTGAAAACTAAACATGATCCCTCACCTTGGACAGCTTGGCTGACCACAGAAAATGTTGCTTCCTCTTTTCACTTTCAGTCTTACGGCTACTTCCTAGACTCTCAGATTTGACTTGACACTGATTTATGAGATTGCTTAGGGAATCTTCATGCGTAAAAGCCACTTATCACACACGTAACCTTTTATAGTGTGCTGTCAAGGATGAAACTGCATCATCAATTGGATAAATGAATTATATGTATCCATGGTGGTGGTGGGGGGTGTATTGAGGAACCTGTGTGAATTTAGACCGCTGCATTGCTAGAGCACCTGTCCCATTGGCAGATGTTTCATTGGTTGATAGAACCTATCCTCTATTGCATGTAATCAGTTACAGTGCCTTCAGAAAGTATTCACACCCCTTAACCTTTTCCACATTCTGTTGTGTTACAAGGTGGGATTATATAAACAAATAAAGAGAGTCGCACACTATGTATAAACTCCCAGTTATTTATTGGGTAAAAAAACACCAATGTTTCGGCATCACTGTGCCTTCTTCAGGGTCTACAAGGTAGGATTAAAATGGATGTAATTGTCTTTTTTTGTCAACAATCTACACAAAATACTCTGTAATGTCAAAGTGGAAGGAAAATGCAAACGTTTGTAAAAACGTAATAATAATAATAAAACACTAATATATCTTGATTCCATAAGTAATCAACCCCCTGAGTCAATACATGTTAGAATCACCTTTGGCAGCGATTACAGCTGTGAGTCTTTCTGGGTAAGTCTCTAAGAGCTTTGCACACTTGGATTGTACCATTTTTGCACTTAAAAAAAAATATATATTCTTCACATCAGTCAAGTTGGTTGTTGATCATTGCTAGACAGCCATTTTCAAGTCTTTCCATAGATTTGTCAAGCCGATTTAAGTCAAAACTGTAACTAGGCCACTCAGGGACATTCAATGTCATCTTGGTAAGCAACTCCAGTGTATATTTGGCCATGTGTTTTAGGTAATTGTCCTGCTGAAAGGTGAATTTGTCTCCTAGTGTCTGTTGGAAAGCAGACTAAACCAAGTATTCCTCTAGGATTTTGCCTGTAATTAACTCTATTACATTTCTTTTTATCCTAAAAAACAACCTAGTCCTTGCCGATGACAAGCATACCCATAACATGATGCAGCCACCACCATGCTTGAAAATATGAAGACTGGTACTCAGTAACGTGTTGTGATGGATTTGCCCCAAACATAACACTTTTTATTCAGGACATAAAGTTAATTTCTTTGCCACATTTTTTGTAGTTTTACTTTAGTTTGTTATTGCAAACAGGATGCATGTTTTGGAATATTTTTATTCCCGTAGAGGCTTCCTTCTTTACACTCTATCATTTAGATTAGTATTGTGGAGTAACTACAATGTTGTTGATCCATCTTCAGATTTCTCCTATCACAGCCATTAAACTCTGTAACTGTTTTAAAGTCACCATTGGACTCATGGTGAAATTCCTGAGCGGTTTCCTTCCTCTCCAGCAACTGAGTTAGGAAGGATGCCTGTATCTTTGCAGTGACTGGGTGTATTGATACACCATCCAAAGTGTAATTAATAACTTCACCATGCTCAAAGGGACCTTACAGATAATTGTATGTGTGGGGTACAGTAATGAGGTAGTCATTCAAAAATAATGTTAAACACTATTATTGGACACAGAGTGAGTCCATGCAACTTATATGTCACTTGTTAAGCACATTTTTACTCCTGAACTTATTTAGGCTTGCCATAACAAAGGGGTTGAATTCTTATTGATGCAAGTAATTTCAGCTTTTCATTTTTAATAATCTAAAAACATAATTCCAATTTGACATTATGGGGTATTGTGTGTCTCAATTTAATCTATTTAAAATTCTGGCTGTAACGCAACAAAATGTGGAAAAAGTCAAGGGGTGTGAATACTTTCTGCAGGCACTACATGTAATCTGATTATAAAAAAAACGTTAACTATAATCAGTTACGTTACCAGCTAAAATATTGGAATCAGATTACAGATACTATTGAAAAACTAGATGATTACTTCTTGGATTAGCCTAATTTAAATTCAGAAAGGATGTTTGCGAAAAAATGCATTACGAAACCTTTCTGTTTTTTTCAATGACATTCAATTCAGCATTGAAAAAAGTTGCAAATGTAGGTTTGTTTCCACCGGAGCGAGTCTGACCACAAGTCAGATACCACTATGATGACACACCAAATGCGTTTGATGGACTAGTAACTGTAACGGATTACATTTAGAAAGTATACTACCCAACCCTGGTGCTGAAAAGGATGAAGAGCGCAATCTCACACTCACCTCCAGGCAGCTCTGCTTCTTCAATCAGGCTCCACAATTCGTTGAGAAACAAGGCCTGCAATAAGAGTGTGGTATTTTAATACACCACAAGATGGCAGTAATCTACAGGAGTCTACAGTAGCCCACACTGACACATGGTATCAATACTGTATGGTAATAACAATACAACGTGCGCTCCTCCTCCCTACTCCGCCTTTTGCTCACAACATCTGTCTATTATTGAATGGACTTCGTCATGATGCGCCGTGGCATGAATATCGCTCTACTCTAGCCAGACAAGCCATTGCAAAGAAACCAAGGGGGGAAGTCCAACACTAATTTTACTGCAAAGTGTTCTCTGAAGAACATTTCTGTGTATGGCTATTATGTGTTTTCTTGCTATTATTATTCTCACTTTTCTGCTTGGAGTGGCGGACTGCGCGGGCACAGAAGGGACCGGGGTTCTTGACACCGACACGGACTGCCCGTCGCTTTGTAACTGTGAAGACAACGGCATGCTTCTGCGCGTTGACTGTGTGGACCTCGGTTTCGCGGAGTTGCCTTCAAAGTTGAGCGTATTTACTTCCTACCTGTAAGTTTCAATTATATTCATAACTTGTTTGTGTGCTGGCAACTGTTGCGAGTGTAAACTTTACTGTATTATGGATGCTCTCCATACACGTTTGCACCGGTCTTTTCAGCAGGGGATAAAACACAAAATACCAACGCTAAAATAAGCGTCTCTCTCTCTCTCTCTCTCAGCACTAGAGAAAGTTAATTAGGTCATCTCTGTGATGGATTTGGTGGCCCTGCAGGTTCTCTCAGAAGTCTGTAGAGTTCTACTGTGAGGACACTCTGACCCTACCAGTGTCAGCCTTGAGTAGGATTACTGTAATGGTTCTTTACAAGAGTTGAAAGACCAAAGGACAAACCTCTTTCTGAGCCAGGTCACAGACATGACATTGCTCCAAATATCATAACATTCACTACATACTTTTGATTGTTGATGTGTGTGCATTGGCTTGTGTAAATACACACATGCCGATCTGTAAGTGCTGCTGCATACATACTGTACTTGTCCATAATAAAGGGATGAAAAAGGACAGCTCATTAACCCCTTCCCTGCTGGAGACAGCCATGCAGGAACTAGGGGATTTTCATAGGAAATGCTATGGATTCCTGACATGCATACAACATAGCGAATGGTTAACTGAAAGTTGAAGGCAAAGGGGGTCTTTGTTAGGGACCAGAGGGAATTACGGAGAGAGAGAAGAGAGGGGGGGGGGGGGGGGGGGGGGGGGGGATAGAGAGAGGGAAAAGAGAGAGAGAGAGAGAGAGAGAAAGAATCATCCGCCCCAAGCCTCTCTGTCACCACTAAAAGCCTGCGAACAGAATGGTTTTGTCAGTCATGTTGCCTGCTTCTCACATTTCACCCTCAGCAGCACTAATGCAATGTTCCTCCAGTGCACATCCAACCATTTTAATGTACAGTAGTTCAATTCATACAAATATTACGCCGTCAAGTTTAAGATTGAAGAATTACATTCTTTCTGTTCAGACCTGTATAGATTCTTGGTATATGATGTAAAATTTGTACAGATACCTTGGCTTCTTAACATTGCACAGTACAACATTATTACATGTACGGCGATGCCTAGAGCAGACAGGCTGTCACAAATAGAGATTATTTATCTAAAGGGAATGAGGTACACACAGGAGGCATTCCTGCTCATTCCCTCTCAGTCAGATTGTATCCCCTCTGGTCCCAGACCATAACTGTACTGGGCTACTGGCTCATTGTTTTGGCTTTCTGTTTTTTTGACTGTGCACATGATATTACAATTAAAGAACATTCTGCGTTTATGTGTTTTAGACCAGAGACTATTTGAAAAAGCTTGAAAGTAGATAAATTGAAGTTCTAGAAGTTATGAAGTTCTAGACTTCCCTTTGGAAGATTTGAGAAGTCTGAAACATTACAACTTTCCAGGGAGGAAGGAGTTAACGGAGACATGGTCACACTGTAGTAGCATGCTTTGCATCATGACACCCTTGCTAATGTCAGAGGGTCTTAGTTGTGAAATGTTAAGGACACCACACAGAATCAAAGCCTTTGATCAACGCCTCATCACCATCCTTTATCTAGAACAGCGGGACAAATCCCTCCTTAAATCTTTACACAGACACTGTCAGCCATGTCTAAATCTGTAGAGATAGTATAGGCCTGCTGGACTGTAACTTCCAAAGCCCGCTGGTATTGCAGTGTTGTATTATAACACATTATGATACAATGACTCGAACAGAGAACATGTGGTTCTTTCTGCTGACTTGAACACTCCTCTGCAGTATCTATTATTTTCCTAAGTGAAGTCCCAATTTCTAGAGCTTGCTCCTGAAAAATGCCATGGAAATATTCAATTTTATGACCAATTCTTAACACATATTGACCAAGTTATTCCATGAAAGACTGTGCAAATTGCCTTAAGAGGTCAGGGTCAAGGATCACCTCTGGGTTTGCAAGGTCCCAAGGCTGCAAGGCTTGACAGCCAAAGGGACCCAAAACATATGTACAGTGCATTTGGAAAGTATTCAGACTAGGGCTGTCCCCGACAAAAAAATGAATTGTTCGACCGAAAGTCATCTGTTCTTTCGACCAATAGATTGGTCGAAATGTTTAAACGTGTATTTTTCCATATATAGACACACCCTATGTGTTTTAATAAAATCAACTATATGCATTGAGCTTGTCTGGTGCTTAAAGCTTAAGGTTTGATAAAATAAGGCAAATGCCTCAAGAGGGCGCCAGAGATCTACATAACCAGAAGAAAAACAACGTAACCTGACCCAACTATTCTCCTCCCGCTCCTGCTGGCTTTTGCAGATTCTGCTATTATCTCCTGAAGTTGCCAGTAATAGGCTACACGAGGAGTCAGCAACCTTTCTCATGTTGAATGCCAATTGATCTTACCATTTCTACCGATCTGCATGCCAGTTATGGTTTTCATATGCACATTTTTGTGAAACAGTTTAATTTAATTTATTTATAACAACTTTATATCTCAAAATCAATGTCATGTGGTTAATAAAAATTTTATCCAAATGTAAATGAAAATTATACAAACCTAAAAAGTAACTTCTATTGCCATTGCCAACTATGTAAAAATAGCCTACATAAAGCCAACAAATAAAAACATTGCAGCCTGTAGGTAGAAGATATCCTGATAAAAATAAATATCCTATACAGTAAACCACATTGGCTACATATGGCCTGTCTACAACGAACTTGAAACATTGTATCAACTATTAACTTGCGTCCCGCCTGAAACTTGTGCTAGTGAACTTGCAACATTGTATAAAATATTCTGGGCCCTCAGAGTTTCCCATGCCAGTGAGCTCAGGACAGACACAGCTGTAGGCTATTTTCTCAAGGAATAAGAAGCAGTGCTTGACTTGGGCAGGAGCTCACCGGAGCTGAGTACCGGCACCTCAAATGTCCTACTGTTTGAGCTCATGTTCCTCTTATAGAATATTAGCTCAAAAGTATGGTGGAGCTCCTGCACCTAAATATAAACAGTACCAGCACCCAAAATGAGTACCGGAACCTATTTCCGTCCAAGTCAAGGACTGATAAGAAGTAATCAGGCAGGCCTATTTTATGACGTTTCCATTGGATCTGAGAATTACATTTTTCCCTTTCACGCTGAGTGGTTATCGAAAGGGAGAGAGCTGGAAAGATTTTTCAAATATATTGAGGAACTACAGTGGCTTGCGAAAGTATTCACCCCCCTTGGCATTTTTCCTATTTTGTTGCCTTACAACCTGGAATTAAAATTGATTTTTGGGGGGTTTGTATCATTTGATTTACACAACATGCCTACCACTTTTACATTTACATTTACATTTTAGTCATTTAGCAGACGCTCTTATCCAGAGCGACTTACAGGAGCAATTAGGGTTAAGTGCCTTGCTTAAGGGCACATCGACAGATTTTTCACCTAGTCGGCTCGGGGATTAGAACCAGCGACCTTTCGGTTACTGGCACAACGCTCTTACCCACTAAGCTACCTGCCGCCCTTTGAAGATGCAAAATATTTTTTTGTGTGAAACAAACAAGAAATAATACAAAAAAACTGAAAACTTGAGCGTGCATAACTATTCCCTGTGCACCCCCTAAAGTCAATACTTTGTAGAGCCACCTTTTGCAGCAATTACAGCTGCAAGTCTCTTGGGGTATGTCTCTATAAGCTTAGCACATCTAGCCACTGGGATTTTTGCCCATTCTTCAAGGCAAAACTGCTCCAGCTCCTTCAAGTTGGATGGGTTCCGCTGGTGTACAGCAATCTTTAAGTCATACCACAGATTCTCAATTGGATTGAGGTCTGGGCTTTGACTAGGCCATTCCAAGACATTTAAATGTTTCCCCTTAAACCACTCGAGTGTTCCTTTAGCAGTATGCTTAGGGTCATTGTCCTGCTGGAAGGTGAACCTCTGTCCCAGTCTCAAATCTCTGGAAGACTGAAACAGGTTTCTCTCAAGAATTTCCCTGTATTTAGCGCCATCCATCATTCCTTCAATTCTGACCAGTTTCCCAGTCCCTGCCGATGAAAAACATACCCACAGCATGATGTTGCCACCACCATGCTTCACTGTGGGGATGGTGTTCTCGGGGTGATGAGAGGTGTTGGGTTTGCGCCAGACATAGCGTTTTCCTTGATGGCCATAAAGCTTAATTTTAGTCTCATCTGACCAGAGTACCTTCTTCCATATGTTTGGGGAGTCTCCCACATGGCTTTTGGTGAACACCAAACGTGTTTGCTTATTTTTTTCTTTAAGCAATGGCTTTTTTCTGGCCACTCTTCCGTAAAGCCGAGCTCTGTGGAGTGTACGGCTTAAAGTGGTCCTATGGACAGATACTCCAATCTCCACTGTGGAGCTTTGCAGCTCCTTCAGGGTTATCTTTGGTCTCTTTGTTGCCTCTCTGATTAATGCCCTCCTTGCCTGGTCTGTGAGTTTTGGTGGGTGGACCTCTCTTGGCAGGTTTGTTGTGATGCCATATTCTTTCCATTTTTGCCTTCATTTGCGCGCAGGCCAGGAAGCCTATAGGTCTACTTCTATGCGTGCGCATTCTTACTCAACATTGACAGGAGCGCTCCAAACAAAAGACAATGACTAAATTGACAAAACTTGTAAATGGAAGGAAATAAACCAAAACTTGTTTCTCACAAGTGTAGCATAGGTTGTGGACTCTGCAAAGACTGGAATAATAATATTGAATGCATTAAAATAAATTCCCATAACCAAAGTAACAAACATTGTAGATTAGAAATTATAGGAATTAACGGTAAATGTGGTACTGGTGATATACAGTGCCTTCGGAAAGTATTCAGACATTTTGTTACATTACAGCCTTATTCTAAAATGGATTAAATAAAAACAAATCCTCATCAATCAACCTTATTTACATAAGTATTCAGACCCTTTGCTATGAGACTCGAAATTGAGCTCCGGTGCATCCTGTTTCCATTGACCATCCTTGAGATATTTATTCAATTTGATTGGAGTCAACCTGTGGTAAATTCAATTGATTAGACATGATTTGGAAAAGCACACAACTGAATATATAAGGTCCCACAGTTGACAGTACATTTTAGAGCAAAAAATCAAGCCATGAGGTCGAAGGAATTGTCCGTAGAGCTCTGAGAGAGGATTGTGTCGAGGCACAGATCTGGGGAAGGATACCAACACATTTCTGCAGCATTGAAGGTCCCCAAGAACACAGTGGCCTTCATCATTCTTCAATGGGAGAAGTTTGGAACCACCAAGACCCTTCCTAGAGCTGGTCGCCCGGCCAACCTGAGCAATCGGGGGAGAAGGGCCTTGGTCAGGGAGGTGACCAAGAACCCGATGGTCACTCTGACAGAGCTCCAGAATTCCTCTGTGGAGATGGGAGAACCTTCCAGAAGGACAACCATCTCTGCAGCACTCCACCAATCAGGCCTTTATGGTAGAGTGGCCAGATGGAAGCCACTCCTCAGTAAAAGGCACGACAGCCCGCTTGGAGTTTGCCAAAAGGAACCTAAAGACTCTCAGACCATGAGAAACAAGATTCTCTGGTCTGATGAAACCAAGTTTGAACTCTTTGGTCTGAATGCTTTGGGACAAGTCTCTGAATGTCTTTGAGTGGCCCGGACTTGAACCCGATCAAACATCTCTGGAGAGACCTGAAAATAGCTGTGCAGCAACACTCCCCATTCAACCTGACAGAGCTTGAGAGGATCCGCAGAGAAGAATGGGACAAACTCCCCAAATACAGGCGTGCCAAGCTTGTAGCGTCATACCCAAGAAGACTCAAGGCTGTAATCGCTGCCAAAGTACTGAGTAAAGGGTCTGAATACTTATGTATTCTGGAGTGAGAAGTGCATTGTGCATCTGGGCGCATGGTCAATCTGACGTCTGCATTGGCCATGCAGCATTGACAGTGATATGGCCTCAGCGGAAGTCAGGGCATTCATACTTCTTCAGGTGATGAGCGGTGCCTGGTTTCCTCCAGACGTGATGCTTGGCATTCAGGCCAAAGAGTTAAATCTTGGTTTCATCAGACCAGAGAATCTTGTTTCTCATGGGTCATGTGCCTTTTACTGAGGAGTGTCTTCCGTCTGGCCACTCTGCCATAAAGGCCTGATTGGTGGAGTGCTGCAGAGATGGTTGTCCTTCTGGAAGTTTTTCCCATCTCCACATAGGATCACTGGAGCTTTATCAGAGTGACCATCGAGTTCTTGGTCACCTCCCTGACCAAGGCCCTTCTCCCCCGATTGCTCAGTTTGGCAGGGCGGCCAAAGTCTTGGTGGTCTTGGTGGTTCCAAACTTCTTCCATTGAAGAATGATGGAGGCCACTGTGTTCTTGGGGACCTTCAATTCTGCAGACATTTTTTGGTACCCTTCCCCAGATATGTGCCTCAACACAATCCTGTCTCGAAGCTCTACGGACAATTCCTTCGACCTCATGGCTTGGTTTTTGCTCTGACATGCACTGTTAACTGTGGGACCTTATATAGACAGGTGTGTGCCTTTCCAAATCATGTCCAATCAATTCAGTTTACCACAGGTGGACTCCAATCAAGTTGTAGAAACATCGCAAGGATGATCAATGGAAACAGGATGTACCTGAGCTCAATTTCAGGTCTCATAGCAAAGGGTCTAAATAGTTATGTAAATAAGGTATTTTTGTTTTTAATTTACAGTGGGGTAAAAAGTATTTAGTCAGCCACCAATTGTGCAAGTTCTCCCACTTAAAAAGATGAGAGAGGCCTGTAATTTCCATCATAGGTACACGTCAACTATGACAGACAAATTGAGAATTTTTCTTCTCCAGAAAATCACATTGTAGGATTTTTTATGAATTTATTTACAAATTATGTTGGAAAATAAGTATTTGGTCACCTACAAACAAGCAAGATTTCTGGCTCTCACAGACCTGTAACTTCTTCTTTAAGAGGCTCCTCTGTCCTCCACTCGTTACCTGTATTAATGGCACCTGTTTGAACTTGTTATCAGTATAAAAGCCACCTGTCCACAACCTCAAACAGTCACACTCCAAACTCCACTATGGCCAAGACCAAAGAGCTGTCAAAGGACACCAGAAACAAAATTGTAGACCTGCACCAGGCTGGGAAGACTGAATCTGTAATAGGTAAGCAGCTTGGTTTGAAGAAATCAACTGTGGGAGCAATTATTAGGAAATGGGAGACATACAAGACCACTGATAATCTCCCTCGATCTGGGGCTCCACGCAAGATCTCACCCCGTGGGGTCAAAATGATCACAAGAACGGTGAGCAAAAATCCAGAGAGCTGGGACCATAGTAACAAAGCCTACCATCAGTAACACACTACGCCGCCAAGGACTCAAATCCTGCCGTGCCAGACGTGTCCCCCTGCTTAAGCCAGTACATGTCCAGGCCCGTCTGAAGTTTGCTAGAGTGCATTTGGATGATCCAGAAGAGGATTGGGAGAATGTCATATGGTCAGATGAAACCAAAATATAACTTTTTGGTAAAAACTCAACTCGTCGTGTTTGGAGGACAAAGAATGCTGATTTGCATCCAAAGAACACCATACCTACTGTGAAGCATGGGGGTGGAAACATCATGCTTTGGGGCTGTTTTTCTGCAAAGGGACCAGGACGACTGATCCGTTTAAAGGAAAGAATGAATGGGGCCATGTATCGTGAGATTTTGAGTGAAAACCTCCTTCCATCAGCAAGGGCATTGAAGATGAAACGTGGCTGGGTCTTTCAGCATGACAATGATCCCAAACACACCGCCCGGGCAACGAAGGAGTGGCTTCGTAAGAAGCATTTCAAGGTCCTGGAGTGGCCTAGCCAGTCTCCAGATCTCAACCCCATAGAAAATCTTTGGAGGGAGTTGAAAGTCCGTGTTGCCCAGCGACAGCCCCAAAACATCACTGCTCTAGAGGAGATCTGCATGGAGGAATGGGCCAAAATACCAGCAACAGTGTGTGAAAACCTTGTGAAGACTTACAGAAAACGTTTGACCTGTGTCATTGCCAACAAAGAGTATATAACAAAGTATTGAGAAACTTTTGTTATTGACCAAATACTTATTTTCCACCATAATTTGCAAATAAATTCATAAAAAATCCTACAATGTGATTTTCAGGATTTTTCTTTCTGATTTTGTCTGTCATAGTTGACGTGTACCTATGATGAAAATCACAGGCCTCTCTCATCTTTTTAAGTGGGAGAACTTGCACAATTGGTGGCTGACCAAATACTTTTTTCCCCCACTGTATAATACATTTGCCAAAATTTCTAAAAAGCTTTTTTCGCTGTGTCATTACGGGGTATTGTGTGTAGATTCATGAGGGAAAACAATTATTTAATCCAAATTAGAATAGGCTGTAACGTAAGAAAATGTGGGAAAAGTTTCTGAATACTTTCTGAATGCACTGTATCTAAAAAATAAAATAATTAAAAGTACACATTTCAAAAGTGGTTTTGAATTGCAAATCAAGAATCCTTCATCAAGACTGGTTTTTGTATGCACATGGTGGGGTATCCTAATGTTTGCTGTACGTCTCCCCCCTTCAGCCCTACCATATCAGTCAGGATGTATGATGGCTTTTACTATGTGTGGAATGGACAGCTGGAGAGCCCAGTTGTGGCGTGGCGCTAACACAATCATGTCATGCTAACACACTGCTACTGTGTAACAAACTGCTACTGTTCTCTGTTCCCCCATCAGTGATCTGAGTATGAACAACCTCACCCTGCTGCCCAACAGAGCCCTCTCCAACCTACACTTCCTCCAAGAGCTGTGAGTATTAGTCTAGGACAGATGGCACACCTCTTTATTAGGAATTTGTGATTATAAGCTTTGCCCATCCTGGAGATTAGATTTCTCTGTTGGACAATTTCTCTGTTCTGATGCGGACTGCTGAAGAGTATTACACCGGTCCCCAAATTGTCTGTAATAAATCCCCAAGGAAAAAACACAGAGTTAGTGTCTGCTCACTGCTGAAAACCCCCTCTCTAGTCTACATGTAGTATGAATCAGACACTAAATATGAGGTAAGGAAAACTTTGTTCAAAACCAGGAGAGACAAACACAAAACAGAAGGATCAATGTCGCTCGATAGATGAGCTAACAGAAAGGGCCGGGAGCCAGAAGCAGTAACCATGTTAATATTAGACTCCATTCTCTTTACTTGCCCCTGTATGAAACAACCAGTGCTGCCTTTTGTTGGAGCTGTTAAAAGGGAGTCAGGATATTGAAATTCAGTAACAACAGGCTCAGGTTACAGTTTATGGTGCCTGGTTGGCTTATTAATTAAATAGACTGGTGCCGGCTGAATCAGTGGAAGTTCAGTTGTTTTTTAATTATTTATGTAATACAGTACAGTGTGTGTGTCCCCCTGCAGACGACTAGCAGGAAACGACTTAACAGACATCCCTGAAGGGGCTTTCTCTGGCCTCTTCAATCTCAAAGTACTGTAAGTCATACATTACTAACTCATACATGATCAATTTCTAAAAACCTGCATCTTTGTGAATGAATCCCTTCTGTCTTTCTGAACAGAATGCTACAGAACAATCACCTAAAGCAGGTTCCAAGTAAGGCTCTTGAGAACCTGAGGAACCTACAGTCTCTGTGAGTATATCTGAACGACTGAACACATGCACTATTCATAGGCTACTACATGACACTGTCTAATTCAAGACCCAGTTAGTTTTCTCTGTATGATGTCCACCTAAATAGCCACTCTGCAGAGCAGTTGGAGAAGGAGCAGAGCAGGTAATAGAGGAGAGGAGGAGAGAAATGCCTCCATATTGAGTCTTGGCCATAGACATTGGATAGACATCGAATCATTGTAACTGTCCCATTATGGTAAAAATACTTTAAAGTACTACTTAAGTAATTTTTTCGGGTATCTGTACTTTACTATTGATATTTGACTACTTTTACTTTTACTTTACTACATTCCTAAAGAAAATGTTATACTTTTTACTCCATACATTTTCCCTGACAACCAAAAGTACTCATTACATTTTGAATGCTTAGCAGGACAGAAAATGTTAAAATTCACACACTTATCAGGAGAACATCCCTGGTCATCCATACTGCCTCTGATCTGGCAGACTCACTAAACACAAATTATTCGTTTGTAAATTATATCTGAGTGTTGGAGTGTGCCCCTGGCTATTCGTAAATTTGAAAAACAAGAAAATTGTGCCGTCTGATTTGCTTAATATAAGGAATTTTAAATGATTCATACTTTTACTTTTGATACTTAAGTATATTTAAAACCAAATACTTTTAGACTTTTGTTCAAGTAGTATTTTACTGGGTGACTTTCACTATTACTTGAGTCATTTTCTATTAAGGTCTCTTTACTTTTACTCAAGTATGAACATTTCCATTTTTAAGTAGTCCATTTTGTTCTACTAGTACTTCTATGAGTTTGCAAATAAACTGAAAGGGTGCACACTGCCACCTAGAGTGTGTTGTTTGAACAGGTATAAAGCCAAGGTTGGTAATTTTTTATCACCTGCCATTATGGAATGTTTACTCACGTGTATAATTCATTGACTGATCCCTCCTGGTGACCTGGATGGAATTATGTGATCCTTCCTTAACCCATAGGAAGTCCCACCAAGTTGACGACTTAAAAATTGTGAAAGTCGTCAATAGCGCTGCCCATGCTAAAACTGTTTTTTTGGGGCACTAGAGTCCTCTATCTAACTCTATGGTCTTGGTACATCTGTCCAGTCTTAGCCTTCTCCAATAGCTTATTTTGTGTCATTCTATCTGGAAAAAGTGTCTCCTTGTATTTAGGAATTCTGACAGTCACTGAAGATAGACAGACCTTATTTGATGCTAAGCTCAATTTTCAGGTTAATTTCATATGTTTTGTTTATGCTCTCACTGTTTGGAAGTATTATTCTCCAGATGCAGGAAACACAATGCAACATTCAAGAAAAACATTTGTGGTTAAAGCCACTCAAGAGAGCCACAAATGTAATTGTCCATGTCATTTGTAAACATGGCACAACGTTGGTAATGTGGGAATGTTTTTCTCTCTTGATGCCACACACATACACACCGAACTTCTGTTACACTTAATATTGAAAGTTCAGTAGCTTTAATATGTTATAATCAAAATCATGTAGAACCTCGAAAAATCGAATGAATTATATCCACACACACATTTTAGCAGACGCTCTTATCCAGAGCGACTAGGGTTAAGTGCCTCGCTCAAGGGCACATTGACAGATTTTTGGCTAGGGGATTCAAACCACCGACCTTTCGGTTACTGGCCTAACACTCTTAACCGCTAGGCTACCTGCCGCCCCCCCCCCACACACACACACATGAAACCCACTCCGTCCTCTTACAAAATGAATGGTTGTTACACTGAGCCCTGAGGCATCCCTAAACATGTTTACCTGATCCTCTGTCCTCCACATCTCAATCAGGCTCTTGTTTGAATGCTCTGGCCAGAGTAAACAGCTATCCATGTTGTTTAGACATACCAATCTGAAGTTCACACGTTAGACAGACAGACAAAGGACGACCACATGCAAGCTGTCTGCTTGTGGTGGTGCCAGGACCCCTTGTCAGACAGCTAAGTCCCTACAGTGAATGTCAACACCAGAAATTACTACCATGCACCAAAAGAATGCACAGACCTCCCTGATCGAGGATGTATCTCTGGAATAAAAAGCAGCTTGGAGATGCAGTTTAATATGAGAAATGAATTAAAGCACAAGGTCTACATTTATTTTGTGTTTTCCAAACAACTTTATATTCTACTTTGCAATATAAATGTTTTACATTTATTTACTGGACATACCAGCTCCATGTCAAAGCATGTATTTATAGAAGAAGTAGAAGGTGCATGAATTTGTTTGTGAAATTGTGTTAAGATGAATAAACATGTCCGCTCCAAAGAAATGACTTGAGGATTCTTAAAAATGCACTTTGAATGTAATTGATTACTGTATTTTCCCAAATGTATTTTCAAGGAAATTCTGACTGAATGGGACACTGTCTGCATCTCCCTCTCTCTCTGTCAGGCGTTTGGATGCCAACCACATTGCCAGTGTGCCTGAAAGCTCCTTTAGGGGCCTGGCGTCCTTACGCCACCTGTGGCTGGATGATAATGCCCTGACGGAGGTGCCTGTCCATGCCCTGGCCATCCTGCCAACCCTGCAGGCAGTGACCCTGGCCCTCAACAGCATCACCCACATCCCAGACCACGCCTTCGCCAATCTCACCAGTCTGGTGGTCCTGTGAGTAGCACGGTTGGATTGACCAACTGTTGGTTGTTATACAATTCTGTTGTTTGTTTAAGGGCCAGCCTCGCTCTCTCCGTCTTTACATTTTCATTGTTTTCTACTGTCTCTCTCTCTTTTGCTCCTACTACATTCACACACGCATACCCACTTCCTTTCTACCACTGTGTAGAACCCTGCAGGGCGTTATTGGGTCTTTGATATCTTTCCATACATCTCTTCCTAGGCATCTCCATAACAACCAGATCCAGTCGTTGGGTGAGAGGTGTTTTGATGGGCTTCTCAGCCTGGAGACTCTGTGAGTTCACCTCTACCTCAAATGTACCTTCATCACCTTATGACTTGATTGACACTTTATTTTTTACGGTACAGAAATTACCAGGTATTTACTGAGACATTAAATTATAAAATGCTAATTAACTAATAACCTACTAATTAATGATTTGATTCAAGTGAACACGCATCACTACGCATCATCATGTTTTTGCTAGTCTGGGTGCCAGTCTCTCTTTGCTTCAGCCAACGTTTTGTTGTGTTTTGTCGTTGAACGCATAGACATTCAGGTACCCAGGCTATGGATTTGCATGTCAGAACAGAACTCTAAATGGGCCTTTTTACAAGACATCTAAACAGCCACCACTGCAGTTCAAACGATCTCTCAACGATTTGGTGCACCTCAGTGTGTGGCCGCATGATGCAGCACTCTACCAATTACCCTCAATCTAGCAGCACATGTTTCCTGAGTTTTAGCAGGGTAATACCCTAACAACCTCCAGGCTACCAGTAATGTATACTTCAACTCACAACCCCCATTATACTACTGACCAGAGAAAACAGTCATGTTGGAAGATACAGCAGTAATTCACAAGTTACTACATCAAAAAGACAAACATTTAAAACATGATATGTATTTGCACTATATTTACGACTGTATTTACAGTACTGACTACTGTATTTACAGTACTGACTACTGTATTTACAGTACTGACTACTGTATTTACAATGCTGGGGGGGGGGCTGCTTTAAATGCGTCAGGCTGAGATCTGAGATATTGCTAGATTGGCCCATTATTGCAGCCTTATAACACAGAACCACTTGCGGTCTGTTTTGTGCACACATGAGTTGAGCGCTGTATGAGTCAACTGAAAGAAATACTGTACCACCGAAGTTATCCCAATGTACCATTTCTATAATGACTATAATGTACAGTACATGAGCCCCAGACTGCTATTCTGTTGCATTATTTTGTTTGTAGATCTCTTTGTCTCCCTCCATATCCAGTGCCTTCAGAAAGTATTCACACCCCTTGACTTTTTCCACATTTTGTTGTGTTACAGCCTGAATTTAAAATTGATTAAATGTCGTTTTTTTGTCACTGGCCTACACATAATACCCCATAATGTCAAAGTGGAATTATGTTTTTTGACATTTCTACAAATGTATTACAAATGAAAAGCTGAAATGTATTGCGTCAATAATAAGCATTCAACCCCTTTGTTATGGCAAGCCTAAATAAGTTCAGGAGTAAAAATGTGCTTTAACAAGTCACATAATAAGTGGCATGGACTCGGTTTGCAATAATAGTGTTTAACATGGTTTTTGAATGACTACCTCATCTCTGTACCCCACACATACAATTATCTGTAAGGTCACTCAGTCGAGCAGTGAATTTCAAACACAGATTCAACCCCAAAGACCAGGGAGGTTTTCCAGTGCCTCGCAAAGAAGGGCACCTATTGGTAGATGAGTACAAATGTAAAAGGCAGACATTGAATATCCCTTTGAGCATGGTGATGTTATTAACTACACTTTGGATGGTGTATCAATACACCCAGTCACTACAAAGATGCAGGCATCCTTCCTAACTCAGTTGCCGGAGAGGAAGAGAATCGCTGAGGGATTTCACCATGAGGCCAATGGTGACTTTAAAACAGCTACAGAGTTTAATGGCTGTGGATAGGAGAAAACTGAAGATTGATCAACAACATGTTAGTTACTCCACAATACTAACCTAATTGACAGAGTGAAAAGAAGGAAGCCTGTACAGAATACAAATATTCCAAAACATGCATCCTGTTTGCAGCAAGGCACTAAAGTAATACTGCAAAAAAAAATGTGGCAAAGCAATTAACTTTTTGAGCTGAATACAAAGTGTTATGTTCGGGGCAAATCCAACACAACACATCACTGAGTACCACTCTCCATATTTTCAAGCATAATGGTAGTGGCATCATGTTATGGGTATGCTTGCAATCATTAAGGACTGGGGAGTTTTTCAGGATAAAAAAGAAACGGAATGGAGCTAAGTACAGGCAAAATCCTAGAGCAGTGGTCACCAACCTTTTCTGAGTCAAGATCCCTTTCACAGTCAAAAAGCAAGCAGATTTGTTTTTAAACATGACTTAAATGTAACATTAACCTAATAAAAACAGTTTTGTAGGAATGTGGATGGTGCAGTAGGCCTAATACTTTACCACAGCATATTGGCTATATGCCTGGCCTGACAATATTGTCCTTCTCAGACCATATTATATTTCAAAACTGGAGCTTTGATAACGAATCAGTTGGTGTAGCACTTGCGAGGCACAGCTGTGCATTAATTGAAATAATTTTATTTTTTATTTTAATGAACTGATGGTACCTGCATTTGATGGTCATGGTGCTTTCATGACAACTGGGAACTCTGAATGAGGTCAAATCATGATGTCAGTGATCTTCAGGTCGGAAAGTAGGCACTCAAGAAAGATGCCCGAGTTTCCGACTTGGAATTCTGAAATGGATGACTATTCAAAATTATTTTCCCCAGTCGGATCTCGTTTTTTCAGAGTTCCCAGTTGTCATGAATGCACTGAAGTCGGAGATTTCCGACTTCCCAGTTGTTTTGAACACGGCATTAGTCTTAGAGGAGGGAGGGAGTGAGCAGCAGAGGGTCTGCCTCTCACGGTCCATGCTCTCTTCTTCCTTTCCTCCGGTGAGACTGAACAGAGACAGGCGACGTCATCTTCCACCTTATGGCGAAACTCGAGTCGTAGTGCATCGCCTCATGAACAAATTCATGTTGTTCCTATGACCAGAGAAAGTGAAATATTCCTAGATATTAAAATTGACACGACGAGCTGCTAATAATAATAACATTGATTGATACACTTGGCTACTCATTGCAGCTGCAGCGCGAGTGGAACTAGGCAGAAGCACGTTTTATGTTTTGTAATAGTGTTGACAGTGCTGAATAAATACTTAAACGTCAACTCACTCATAAAAACATTTTTTATTTTTTTATTTTTTTATTTATTAATTTTTTTTGGGGGGGGGTGGATCAGCTTAATATTGCAGATAGATTGTATCTTCTATCAATGTAATTGTCTGCATCACTTCCAATCCCCCATGTTTTTTGTTTTTTTATATATATATATATATTCCCCTTTATTACTTTTCAACCCCACCATCCTTTCCCTACTTGGAGTAAATTAGTGAACAACAACGCCCAGGCCTCTACTTCCGGTCTATAATTACTATCTACACCTTATGGACAGAGTTAATTTTACAATAATTCTATATCCATATATATATATATATATTTATTTATTTTTTTGCTCCTGAACTTCTTCTACTCTAAACCTCTCCGATCATTTTCATGATGTCCATCCGGTTTGCTTCTAAATGCCATATCTTTCTAACTGTGCTCTTTCCCAAAAGCTCCCAACATACAACCTATATACTTATTATGGACACAGTATGCTTACATTATTAGCTATCTTTGTTATTATTTGTTGTTATTTGTTATTAGTCCCATCCTTCAACTCTATTCAATACCTCCCATCTATCTCTTAACACCATCCATATAGGATTTCTATTTGCCATATATATTTCAACCATACTGTGATGTTTTACAAAAGTTCTGAACCTTTCTATTCTCATTGCTTCTACAGATTGTGAATTAAAAATAAACATTTTTGCTAAAAGTATTATTATATTATTGATTGATTGACTATGACTTTTCAGATCACCCAGTAATGCTATCTGCAAGGTTAGTTCCAGGTAAATATTGCAATCCTTTAGCCATTCCTGGACCTGTGTCCAAAAACAAGCTACAAATGGACAGAACCAAAACAAATGATCTAATGATTCTATCTCTTCACAGCAAAATCTGCAGAGCTGGGAAGATTGTATCCCCCATATAAATAACATTCTATTGGTAGCAAGAATTTTATATAATAATTTAAATTGAAATATTCTAATTTTTGAATCCGGTGTCGTTTTGCGTGTCAGTTCATAAACACTATGCCATGGGATCGGTACGTCAAAGATCTCTTCCCAACTATTTTGCAATCTATATGGGACGGCTGTCAATCCTTTGGTCCTTAAGTGAAACTGATATACTTTTTTATTTATCACAGTTTTCCTTAACCAATTATGTTCTTTAATGCAAGGCCGACAGACAAGTTCCTTACTTTCTCCCCCTTCAACTTTCCTCTTCCACTTTTGCGGTAAGGCTGCAATTATTTGGTTGTAATTTTGGGTAGAGCAGACATTTCCATATGTTTTTGTTAGCTGCATGTGCGACATAACTCCACCAGTCCTACCGATGATATCATTTACGAAGATTATACCTTTTTTAAACATTCTGTCAAAAAATAAAGTTTTTTTTTCAATTAGTATATTTGAATTTAACCACAATATTTGTTGCATTATTTGTTCTGTCGTTTCTGGAGGATTAAATTGAAATTGCAACCAACTTTCTATGGCTTGTTTTAGAAATAGTGACATTTGGGAGATTATTTCCTTTTCAAATAACTGAAAGTGAGAGGTTGTAATCTGAATAAAGGGAAAAAGGCCTTTCTTGAACAGTGGGTGAGACAATCTTACTAATTTGCTTGAGAACCAGTTCGGATTTAAGTATAACTTTTGGATGACTGAAGATTTTAGTGATAGGTCTAATGCTTTAATATTTAATAATTTCTGTCCTCCGAATTCATATTCATTATATAAATATGCTCTTTTAATTTTGCTCTTAACACTTTGCTGTATTGTTTGACAGTCTCTCTCTGGTCGGTCATGGTTTTAAAAGTAATGAAATCTCAAGTAGGCTAGTATCAAACTTTGCTGTGGCCGGGGTCGTGGACGCTGTAGGCATAGTGATTTGAGCTAATCCGATTGGCCAGTACAGTAGGAGTACTCGATTAAGCCACAGATCTCCCAGTCAGCCAGGTAGGCGTAGTTTTTGTCTTTTCAGACAAATGAAATGGTTCAAAATGGGAACACTGTTTCTACCCGATGCGCAGGGCTTCTGAATCAAGTGCACCTACCGCCAACAGCGCAACACATAACAACAAAAAAGGAACGCAAGACTATGCCGTTATCGTTGGTTTTTCTACAGAAATATTTGGTCGACTAGGAATGCCCTGTGACCGACCGGTTGGTGACCACTGTCCTAGAGGAAAACCCCCTGTGACCGACCGGTTGGTGACCCCTGTCCTAGAGGAAAACCCCCTGTGACCGACCGGTTGGTGACCCCTGTCCTAGAGGAAAACCCCCTGTGACTGACCGGTTGGTGACCCCTGTCCTAGAGGAAAAGCCCCTGTGACCTACCGGTTGGTGACCCCTGTCCTAGAGGAAAACCCCCTGTGACCGACCGGTTGGTGACCCCTGTCCTAGAGGAAAACCCCCTGTGACCGACCGGTTGGTGATCCCTGTCCTAGAGGAAAACCCCTGTGACCGACCGGTTGGTGATCCCTGTCCTAGAGGAAAACCCCCTGTGACCGACCGGTTGGTGACCCCTGTCCTAGAGGAAAACCCCCTGTGACCGACCGGTTGGTGATCCCTGTCCTAGAGGAAAACCCCCTGTGACCGACCGGTTGGTGACCCCTGTCCTAGAGGAAAACCCCCTGTGACCGACCGGTTGGTGACCCCTGTCCTAGAGGAAAACCCCCTGTGACCGACCGGTTGGTGACCCCTGTCCTAGAGGAAAACCCCCTGTGACCGACCGGTTGGTGACCCCTGTCCTAGAGGAAAACCTGCTTCAGTCTGCTTTCCACCAGACACTGGGAGATTCATTCACCTTTCAACAGGACAATAACCTAAAAGACAAGGCCAAATCTACACTGGAGTTGCTTACCAAGAAGACAGTGAATGTTCCTGAGTGGCCGAGTTACAGTTTTGACTTAAATCTACTTGAAAATCTAGGACAAGACCTGACAATGGTTGTCTTGCAATGATCAACAACCAATTTGACAGAGCTTGTTGAATTTCTAAAAGAATAATGGGCAAATGTTGCACAATCCAGGTTGTTGAAAGCTCGTAGTCTTACCCAATAAGACTCACAGCTGTAATCACTGCCAAAGTTGCTTCTACAAAGTATTTGCTCAGGGGTGTGAATACTTATGTAAATGAGATATTTCTGTATTTTATTTTCAATAAATTTGCAAAAATGTCTAAAAATATGTTTTCACTTTGTCATTATGGGGTATTGTGTAGATTGTATTTATTTATGTTTTATTCAGGCTGTAAGACAACAAAATGTGGAATAAGTCAAGAGGTATGAATACTTTCTGAAGGCACTTCAGATGGTTCCAGGAAGCCCCACTGTACTGTTATGACGTGTGTAAATAATGTTTAGCAGTACAATAGCCTCCTACCCACAAAGGAACAAGCAGGTTGTGAACTACTGTAAATCCTCATCACCTTCCGCCTCGGAGCCAATCCAGACCTGGCAGTTCTTAGCATAGACCTGTAGGTTCCTAGGCATCTAGTTTGGACAAACAGGAAGCAGCCTCATGTGAGAAAGAGGCTCTAATATGAGTGGTGTAAATTCTGGACAGAGACAGAGAGAGGGTCTGAAACCTTTCTGTACCTCACTGCAGCCATGAACACTTGACAGGAAAGTAGAGTAAGGGAAGTTACTGTATCTGTGCAGACAACTGTAATAATTCATATATTGTTTCTTTCCCGACCCTCAGAGATTTGAACTACAACGACCTGGCCATGTTTCCCATGGCCATCAGAGCCCTCCCTAACCTCAAAGAGCTGTGAGTGAAACTCATTACACTCCAGTGCTGCCACTTATAGAACAAATCATGTTTTCAGTTATCTTAAATCTTAAATATTTGCCCCCAAGGAGTTTCCATAGCAACAACATCAGATCTGTCCCAGAGCATGCCTTCGTGGGAAACCCTTCCCTTGTCACAATGTAGGTGCTCTTGTGTCATCGTCCTGATGTAAAGTTGATCGTGAATAAGTAATCAATCATTATGATCGTATCACAATGATTCGATGAGTGAGGGGATTTTGATCCCTCTGACGATTGTGCTGTATTTCCTCTCTAACAGATACTTCTACAACAATCCCATCCAGTTTGTAGGCAAGTCAACTTTCCAGCATTTACCAGCGCTACGGATGCTGTAAGTCAGCATTATCCCTCTTCATTCTGTCCTACCTCATTTGAGAGGAAGTAGATGAAAATGTAAGAAGAAAGCTAAGCAGGTGTGATTTTTGTCCGTCTTTTTTGTTATTGTGTAGATCACTCAACGGAGCCACAGAGATCACAGAGTTCCCAGACCTCACTGGCACAAACAGTTTGGAAACTCTGTAAGTCTCAGTCCTCAAAAGTCCCTAAATACACTGAATACACCCCAGCTATCATGAATCAGATTCAGCACATCAGCTAGGATTCCATCCAATTGCTGTCAGATTTTCATGCGAATATATTAGAATCTGCATAAAGAACAAATGTGCAGTTTCCAACAAACGGACTTGTTGTGGATAAAAACCAGTGCGTTGGGCCTCCCGAGTGGCGCAGCGCGCTGTGTTGCAGCCGGCTGCGACCGAGAGACCCATGAGGCAGTGCACAATTGGCCCAGCATTGTCCGGGTTAGGGGAGTGATTAGCCGGCCGGGATGTCCTTGTCCCATCGCGCTCTAGCGACTCCTTGTGGCGGGCCGGGCACATGCACGCTGACTTCGGTCAGCAGTTGTACGGTGTTTCCTCCGACACATTGGTGCGACTGGCTTCCGGGTTAAGCGAGCAGTGTGTCAAGAAGCAGTACGGCTTGGCAGGGTCGTGTTTCGGAGGACGCATGACTCTCGACCTTCGCCTCTCCCGAGTCCGTATGGGAGTTGCAGAAAAAATAAAACTAGTGCATTATGAAGTAGTGCACACAAAATGTACTTTTTCGCTTCAAGGGATACTTCTGGATTTTTGGTAATGAGGCCCTTTATCTACTTCCCCAGAGTCAGATTAACTTGTGGATACCATTTTTTATGTCTGCGTGCGGTTTGAAGGAAATTGTTAACTAGTGCTAGCGCAATTGCTAACAAGCATGTTAGCAGATACCAATAGACTTCCATTAATTGTGCTAATGCTAGTTAGCATTGGCTTGCGAAACTCTCTCTAACTTCCTTCATACTGGACACAGAGACATACAAATGGTATCCATGAGTTCATCTGACTCTTGGGAAGTAGATAAAGGTCCTCATTGCCAAAATCCCAAAGTATCCCTTTAAGTTTTCATGTACCAAATAAAAATCAAAAGTTCAATGTATTTCCATTTCTCACAATAACTGTTGCGTTAAATAGCAAATGTGCAACTCTGGTCTTGTCACGTGTGCTATAGCCAACAGCTAGCAGATACAGTGTGGGTAGGCTGTGTGGGAAGGCTAGTCTACATGATGAGATTATTATGGATAAACGGCAGTCAAGCATCGATCATCATGTCACCAGAATAAGACCCCAGAAAAAAAGTTTAACAATAAATAAAAATACATAAATAATAAGACCCTCGATATTTATTGGAAAGGAGCGTCAAGCTCATCATCGTGCACTTTCACCCCCCTGTGAAGTTCATCATAACTTATTTAATCTTTAGCCTAATAAACTGCATGGTTTCCCGAGTCGTAGTGGGAGGACCACACACCTTATCATCGAGTGACTCCAAATTTACTTCGATATGATGGTTATTATATCAAAATGTGCGCATAAATGCATTTCCACCGCCATTTCCCGCATAATTAATTTTACAGACACAAAAAGATCTCACCATGTCGAACTAACAAATGATCTGTCGACATTTATAAAATCACACCGAAATGTCCTGTTCACATCACAGCTGTTGTGATTTTTAAAAAATACAATTTGACTTTACTCGCATAAAAACTGTGGATTAAAATGTGGTTGGACTCTGTCCCTTCTATGACCAAATTCTCTGTCCATTCAGAGCTGTCACAGGTACACACATCTCATCACTGCCAGGGAACCTCTGTGACCAGTTACCCAACCTGATACAGCTGTAAGTCCCTATACTGGTTGACCAAATATCTCTTGATACTATAATATCTTGGTACTATAATATCTCTTGGTTCTGTATCTTAGAAATGAAATGTGTTATCCTGAACATCATTTTAAATAAACTATAATGAACACTGTACCTGCAGGGATCTCTCCCATAACCTGATCCAGCATCTTCCCAGCTTCCGTGGCTGCAGAAAGATCCAGAAAATGTGAGTGGCTTCGTTACCATTATTGTTAGTCCTCAACCCAGCCATAAATACAATCCAGGTAACAGTTGCGATGTGTGTCGTTGTATTTAGTGACCTCCATCAAAACCATATCCACGAGGTTCCAGCAGACACTTTCCTAGAGCTGACTGGACTCAGAACCCTGTGAGTAACCTGGGCCATTTCCTCTTTACATACATGTAGATATTGGCGCCTGACTTTGTCTGAAAGTGGGGGTGCAAAAAATTATATATACAGTGCCTTTGGAAAGTATTCAGACCCCTAGACTTTTTCCAGATTTTGTTAGGTTACAGCCTTATTCAAAAATTGATTAAATTGTTTTTTTCCCCCCTCATCAATCTACACACAATACCCCATAATGACAAAGCACATTATTATTTTTTTTATAGTTTTTTGCGAATTTATTTTCTTGGTTTGACACTACAAGCTTGGCACACCTGTATTTGGGGATTTCTCCCATTCTTCTCTGCAGATCCTCTCAAGCTCTGTCAGGTTTGATGGGGAGTGTTGCTGCACAGCTATTTTCAGGTCTCTCCAGAGATGTTAGATCAGGTTCAAGTCCGGGCTTTGCTTGGGCCACTCAAGGACATTCAGAGACCTGCCGCTGAAAAACATCCCCACACCATGATGCTGCCACCACCATGCTTCACCGTAGGGATGGTGCCATGTTTCCTCCAGACGTTACGCTTGGCATTCAGGCCAAAGAGTTCAATCTTGGTTTCATCAGACCAGATAATCTTGTTTCTCATGGTCTGAGAGTCTTCAGGTGCCTTTTGACAAACTCCAAGCGGGCTGTCATGTGCCTTTTACTGAGGAGTGGCTTCCGTCTGGTCACTCTACCATAAAGGCCGGATTGGTGGAGTGCTCCTGAGATGGTTGTCCTTCTGGAAGGTTCTCCCATCTCCACAGAGGAGCTCTGTCAGAGTGACCATCGGGTTCTTGGTCACCTCCCTGACCAAGGCCCTTCTCCCCCGATTGTTCAGTTTGGCCGGCCAGCCAGCTCTAGGAAGAGTCTTGGTGGTTCCAAACTTCTTCCATTTAAGAATGATAGAGGCCACTGTGTTCTTGTCGATCTTCAATGCTGCAGAAATGTTTTGGTACCCTTCCCCAGATCTGTGCCTCGACACAATCCTGTCTCGGAGCTCTACGGACAATTCCTTCGACCTCATGGCTTGGTTTTGCTCTGACATGCACTGTCAACTGTGGGACCTTATATAGACAGGTGTGTGCCTTTCCAAATCATGTCCAATCAATTGAATTTACCACAGGTGGACTCCAATCAAGTTGTATAAACATCGCAAGGATGATCAATGGAAACAGGATGCACCTGAGCTCAATTTCGAGTCTCATAGCAAAGGGTCTGAATACGTATGTAAATAAGGTATTTCTGTTTTTTATTTTTAATACATTTGCAAAAATTTCTAATAACCTGTTTTCACTTTGTCATTATGGGGTATTGTGTGTAGATTGCTGCTATTTATTTAATCAATTTTAGAATAAGGCTGTAACGTAAGAAAATGTGGAAAAAGTCAAGGGTTCTGAATACTTTCCGAAGGCTCTGTATATACACTACATGGCCAAAAGTATGTGGACTCCCTTTCAAATTAGTGGATTCGGCCATTTCAGCCACACTGTTGCTGACAGGTGTATATAGCACATAGCCATGCAATCTCCTTAGACAGTAGAATGTCCCGTACTGAAGAGCTCAGTGACTTTCAACGTGGCACCGTCATAGGATGCCATCTTTCCAACAAGTCAGTTCGTCAAATTTCTGCCCTGCTAGAGCTGCCCCGGTCAACTGTAAGTGCTGTTATTGCTAAGTGGAAACATCTAGGAGCAACAACGGCTCAGCTGAAGGGTTAGGCCACACAAGCTCACAGAACGGGACCGGCGAGTGCTGAAGCGCGTAGCGCGTAAAAATCGTCTGTCCTCGGTTGCAACACTCACTACCGAGTTCCAAACTGCTTCTGGAAGCAACGTCAGCACAAAAACTGTTCGTCGGGAGATTCATGAAATGGGTTTCCATGGCAGACCAGCCACACACAAGCCTAATATCAGCATGTGCAATGCCAAGTGTCGGCTCGAGTGGTGTAAAGCTCGCCGCCATTGGACTCTGGAGCAGTGGAAACGCGTTCTCTGGAGTGGTGCAGTGGTCTAAGGCACTGCATCGCAGTGCTAGCTGTGCCACTAGAGATCCTGGTTCGAATCCAGGCTCTGTCGTAGCTGGCCGTGACCGGGAGACCCATGGGGCGGCGCACAATTGGCCCAGCGTCGTCCAGGGTAGGGGAGGGAATGGCCGGCAGGGATGTAGCTCAGTTGGTAGAGCATGGCGTTTGCAACGCCAGGGTTGTGGGTTCGATTCCCACGGGGGGCCAGTATAAAAAAGAATGTATGCACTCACTAACTGTAAGTCGCTCTGGAGAAGAGCGTCTGCTAAATGACTAAAATGTAAATGTGGTGAATCACACTTCACCATCTGGAAGTCCGACGGACAAATCTGGGTTTGGTGGATGCCAGGAGAACGCTACCTGCCCGAATGCATAGTGCCAACTGTAAAGTTTGGTGGAGGAGGAATAATGGTCTGGGGCTGTTTTTCATTGTTCGGTACAGCACACAATGACATTCTAGACGATTCTGTACTTCCAACTTTGTGGCAACAGTTTGGGGAAGGCCCTTTTTTGTTTCCGCATGACAATTCCCCCGTGCACAAAGCGAGATCCATACAGAAATGGTTTGTCGTGGAAGAACTTGACTGGCCTCAACCCCATCGAACACCTTTGGGATGAATTGGAACGCCGACTGCGAGCCAGGCCTAATTTCCCAACATCAGTGCCCGACCTCACTAATGCTGTTATGGATGAATGGAAGCAAGTCCCCGCAGCAATGTTCCAACATCTAGTGGAAAGCCTTCCCAGAAGAGTGGAGGCTGTTATAGCAGTAAAGGGGGCACCAACTCCATATTAATGTCCATGATTTTGGAATGAGATGTTCGACAAGCAGGTGTCCACATACTTTTGGTCATGTAGTGTATGTTCACCTGCCCATGGACTAAAGATGTAAATTAGCTGTCAGCTAAATGTGGTGCAACATATCACTTCTCATATTCGGAGACTTATGTTTTGTTGTACATTGTCCCTGACAAATAAACGTAATAAATAATACATATTGCCTATTCAGCTCAAGCTAAACAATCCTGAACCACAGATTTGACATGCAGTACAAGTAATGATTGACTCTCAAATCCACACAAATGTTTAGCCTGGTTTGATGGTTTACCATGTGAACAGCATCAAAACGTATCATGTAGGACCATAATGAAAGATAGAATGAAATTATGAGTCCATTTTAATGTGAGATATTCATCGAACAATGTACAGCCCAAACAGAATGGCATCTGGTGTATACATGAGGTGGTCCTGGAGGTCTTGTCATGTTATGTCAGTGTTATCATCATGACTAAACCAGTTGGACATTACAAGCATCTATGCCTAATATGAATCCTAACGAAACCCACTCCTATTCATATACCTTTTTTTCTACACTTGACATTTCTGACAATACAATGTACAAATTCTAGCTTGGCATGGCAACATGACAATAATGAAAGCCAGAAAGAAATAATTCAAGAGGCCTCTTTACTCTGTGATATTTCTTGCATTTCCATGACTGAACAAAATGTGTTTTCTCATGGCTCTCTTTTGTCCCTCTGCAGCAGACATATAGTAAGCAAAATGTTTGTAACATCAAATCACAGTATCGAATCGCAATACGTATCGTATCGGCACCTAAGTATTGTGATATGGTATCGTGAGGCCCCTGGCAATTCCCCCGAAGAATGTCATGACTTTTTCCCCATTACACATTTTTTGAAAGATTTACTCTAAAAGATGGGCATTGTTGTGTGTGTATTCCCTCTAAACGTAAAGGATATTAAAGATCAAAAGAACAGTGAGAACAGTCTTCTTCGAACAGGCTTTAAACAGCCAGATGTCTAGAGCGCCATGAGGGATCGGATATCATCTATGCGTGACGTCTTCCTCCTGCTGGGGAGGTCGAAAGCCTTCTCCACAAGATCCTGACTCTTGATGCTGTTGTCCTCACTGTGCAGTCTGAGCAGGCTAGACATTAGAGCCTCCACCTTGGAGCTGCTCCTCCAGTTATCTGAGAGGTTGCTCTCCTTCTCTTCTTCTTCCTGAGGAAACTCCACCAGTTCAGTTGCCTTGATCTGGCCTCTGCACAGAGGGCACCGCGCCTGCTCCTGCTCCTGCTCGGTACGTGTGACCTCTGCGGTACGTGTGACCTCTGCGGTACGTGTGCAGTGTATGACGACGGGCAGACGGACAGTCCAGACACAGCCAGCACGCTCCTCATCAGAGCCACTGCCCAGCACCAGCCTCAGCCTCTCTATCATAACTCTGCAGGAGTCACAGCTACCACACCTGTGTGTGTAGTTGTATTGCCTAGAAGGTCCCCTCTGCAACGTACCTGCTGATGGTGGTGCGTCCCAGCTCATATTCCTCCCTCTGTGTCAGCTCCACCTCTTCTATACTGATGCTCATCTCCGGTAGAGCGACCAGAGGCCACCCACACACACGGCTGGTCTTCGTACGACGCAGCCTGATACACTTCACCAAGGCCTGCAGCTTCTGAAGGCCGGTGCTGTCCCCCTGTGTGACAGGTCTCTGTATGACTCTGTTCCACCACTCTCTCACGTCGAATAACATCAGACGTAGAAACGCCACCAGCATCCACAGATCCCTCAAATGGAAAAAAACAAAGCACTAAGTAAGTGTTCATGGAAAGGGATGCAAATAGCCTGGCTAGCCTATATTAATCATGGTATCATGTGATGACAGATGCTGACCTATTATAATTAATGGTAGTCTAGGCTTTATGTGGCTAGTAGGCCTATGTGCAGCTATCTGTAACATCATTATTCATCCCCCCAATGGGAAATCATAATTTTCATATTAGATTTTTGTTCAATGTTGGCGCAATTGCTGTAGCTACATGTGCTTACCTCTATGCAGCACAGGCTTCAATGTGTGAGACTCATTGTGTGCCCACAAACTGGCATAGTCTCGCAGCCTGGTCTCAGACTAGATGTAACATAGACCAGGGCTTCTCAAACTCAGTGTTGGGGACCGCAAGGGGTGCATGTTTTGGTTTTTGCCTTAACACTACACAGCTGATTCAAACAATGGACTCATCATCAAGCTTTGATTATTTTAATCAGCTGTGTAATGCTAGGGCAAAAACAAAACTGTGCACCCCTTGGGGTCCCCAGGACCGAGTTTGGGAAACACTGACATAGACACTCAGACATACATTTGAAAGGCTGGTCATGGCTCACATCAACACCATCATCCCAGAAACCCTAGACCCACTCCAAGTTGCACACCGCCCAAACAGATCCACAGATGATGCAATCTCTATTGCACTCCACACTGCCCTTTCCCACCTGGACAAGAGGAACACCTACGTGAGAATTCTATTCATTGACTACAGCTCAGCATTCAACACCATAGTGCCCTCAAAGCTCATCACTAAGCTAAGGATTCTGGGACTAAACACCTCCCTCTGCAACTGGATCCTGGACTTCCTGACGGGCCGCCCCCAGGTGGTAAGGGTAGGTAACAACACATCTGCCACACTGATCCTCAACACGGGGGCCCCTCAGGGGTGCGTGCTCAGTCCCCTCCTGTACTCCCTGTTCACCCATGACTGCATGGCCAGGCACGACTCCAACACCATCATTACGTTTTCCTGACGACACAACAGTAGTAGGCCTGATCACCGACAACGATGAGACAGCCTATAGGGAGGAGGTCAGAGACCTGGCCGTGTGGTGCCAGGATAACGACCTCTCCCTCAACGTGACCAAGACAAAGGACATGATTGTGGACTACAGGAAAAAAAAGAGGACTGAGCGCGCCCCCATTTTCATCGACGGGGCTGTAGTGGAATAGGTTGAGAGCTTCAAGTTCCTTGGTGTCCACATCACCAACGAACTATCATGGTCCAAACACACCAAGACAGTCGTGAAGAGGGCACGACAAAGCCTATTCCCCCTCAGGAGACTGAAAAGATTTGGCATGGGTCCTCAGATCCTCAAAAGATTCTACAGCTGCACCATCGAGAGCATCCTGACTGGTTGCATCACTGCCTGGTATGGCAACTGTTCGGCCTCCGACCGCAAGGCACTACAGAGGGTAGTGTGTACGGCCCAGTACATCACTGGGGCCAAGCTTCCTGCCATCCAGGACCTCTATACCAGGCGGTGTCAGAGGAAGGCCCTCAAAATTGTCAAAGACTCCAGCCACCCTAGTCATAGACTATTCTCTCTGCTACCGCACGGCAAGCGGTACCGGAGTGCCAAGTCTAGGTCCAAAAGACTTCTCAACAGCTTCTACCCCCAAGCCATAAGACTCCTGAACAGCTAATCATGGCTACCCGGACTATTTGCATTGCCCCCCCACCCCCACCCCATCTTTTTACGCTGCTGCTACTCTGTTAATTATTTATGCATAGTCACTTTAACTCTACCCACATGTACAAATTACTTCAACTACCTCAACTAGCCGGTGCCCCCGCACATTGACTCTGCACCGGTACCGCCCTGTATATATAGCCTCCCTACTGTTATTTTATTTTACTTCTGCTCTTTTTTTCTCAACACTTTTTTGTTGTTGTTTTATTTTACTTTTTTATTAAAAATAAATGCACTGTTGGTTAAGGGCTGTAAGTAAGCATTTCACTGTAATGTCTGCACCTGTTGTATTCGGCGCATGTGGCCAATACAATTTGATTTGATTTGATTTGAAATACAGCATCTTCTCTTTATCAGTGTTTCTCAATCCATTCCATCAGTGACCTCAGCTCCAACCTGCTGTCCTCCGTCCCTATGGAAGGCTTTCAGGACCTCACACACCTCAGACTGGCCGGCAACACTGCCCTGAGACACACACTACCTGCCCAGAGACTACCTAAACTCAGGTAGGGGACAGAGATAATGATTAAACTGGGCCCCTTTAAGACTCTTTCAACTCAAGGAAAGAGAGACAGCGTGTGAGTGAGTGAGTGAGTGAGTGTAGTAAGTCTTGTGGGGTTGTGTGCAGCTGTCTTACCATAAGCTATGCGTTGTTCTCAGGGTAGTGGAGATGCCCTATGCCTTCCAGTGCTGTGCCTTTGTAGCTGGCCCTGGAGAAAACTCAAAGTACCCCTACATCTGGAAAACGAGGAACATCAGTAAAGATCTCGTCACTGGAAAGGAAATACACATCGTAGCCAACCAAGGAACATACCTTAAAAAAAACAATCCTTAAAATCTGTTTTGTGTTTTGGTGTATTAAGTGAAAATAATGATGACTTACCATTTGTTTATAGAGGACGATAGAGAGAACTTCCTCGTGGAGAGTGAGGCAGACACCAGACCCCAGCACTCTGTCCACTGTTCCCCAGCACCAGGTAGGTCTGCCTGCATAAAAATCGAATGATTGATTGGTTGAACAGGTGTGTTAATGTTAAGATGGAACAAAAGCCTGCACACACTGTACCTCCATAGGACCATAGTGGATGCCATGCTCATACATACCTCATTTGACACTGTCACAAATCTAATACTGGGGTTGTTGATGGACATCGGTTTGTCCCCAGGTCCGTTCCAGTCATGTCAGAGTTTATTTGGGAGCTGGCTGGTGCGAGTCGGTGTTTGGATTATCGGCATCCTCTCCTTCGTGTCCAACTCCCTGGTCCTGGTATCCATCGTTCTCTCCTCAAAGTCCCCGACCTGTCCTACCCAGCATCTACTGGGAGTCCTAACCTGGGTCCACCTCCTCAATGGCGTCTCTAGCGCCGCCCTGGCTGTACTAGACACCATTTCATTTGACCACTTTGCTGATTATGGTGCGTGGTGGGAGGGTGGGCCAGGTTGCTGGATCTTTGACTTTCTGTCAGTCTTCTCCTCAGAGGCCAGTGTCTTCCTGTTGATGGCAGTTGTCTTAGAGCGTGGATGTTCTGTCCGTGGCTCACAGTGGTCCGAGACTGAGGCCAGGAGGATTCCATTGGGGTGGGGGTGTGCTCAAGGTATCTCAGCTCTATGTTGCTTCCTGGCTGGAGCCATTGCCGCCTTACCTCCCCTCACTATGAACGAGTATGGTGTCTCCCCTCTCTGTGTGGCCTCTCCCTACGGACACGCCTCCCGTTTGGGCTACAGCTACGCCACAGCCCTGGTGCTGCTCAACTCCCTGTGCTACCTCCTGATGACAGCCACCTATACCAGACTGTACTGCCACATGGACAGAGACACACCAGAGAAAGAGGGTGTCACTGTCCAGGACTACTCTGTGACCAAACTTATGGCCAGCCTCCTCTTCACCAACTGCCTCCTCTCTTTCCCCGTGGCGCTGCCCTCCTTCTCCTCCCTCCTCCAGCTCTCCGTCCTCTCCAGCCCTAAGGTGGCTAAGCCCATCCTGCTCCTCGTGGCGCCCCTGCCCTCCTGTCTTGACCCCCTGCTCTACATTCTCCTCAGCCCTCATTTGAGGGAGGATCTCAGCAGGCTTCTATTGGACAACATACAGGCTACAGCGCCGCACCAGTTTGTTCTCAGTGAACTCCGAAGACACGGAGAAACAGTCATGTGACTCCATGCAAGCCCTCGTCTCTCTCAAACTGTAGGTGGAAGAGGACACCTAACTGCTTGCTGGTACTAGTCCCCCTGCCCACTCCCATGTGTAGTACACCTCTAACTCAGGTGGCAAGCAGTCACATCAGCCCCAGTCTCAGGGGGATCCACACTGAAACAGTGGAGAGGGTTCCGATGACACCGTTGACAGGTTGGGGTATGGATAGATCATCATGAGGTTTGGACAAAGGTACAGATAACATTGAGGTGACCCTTGGATACATACACATGGATGTGGTCTTCATGTAACCCTGTTATTTTTAAGCAACTCTCAAGTACTTGAAATATCAGTACACACACAGTAACTGTCACCATACTTTGACAATTATATGACCTCAATGGAATAGTTTGTAATGAATTACAATTAACATTAATGTTGCATCCTTTTTTTTCTAAGTGTAAATTAGCATGTTTTTTTAAGTATGAAGAAAGAGAAGACCTACTAGTTGATCTATGGTTTGTGAATCTTCAGTAGGCCTATAGAGGAAATGTAATATTGTCAAGTCGTTTACCAAAAATAATAATAATATGAAGCAAACACTAATGTAAGGACATGTTTGTTTATTGCCTTTTTTATTGCTACAAGTTGAATGATATTACCAAAATGTCACAGTAAGGTCAAATAAGTTTGAAATGTTGATTTAAATGTTGAGTGTTTGAAATGTGGAATGTATAAAGCAAATTATTTGGATCATGTTTGTTATTGATGGTCTGACTCCTTTGTGCTTGATGGAACATATTCAACATTTGTTTTCACTCCAGTTGACAAGGTTCCCTCTTTGCCCAAACCCAACCAAATCTTACACAGCAAATGAAGACAGAACAGAATAAATTAGAAAATAATTTAATATAAACACATTCAATTTCAACATACAAAAACAGTTGAAATACTTTAATCCTTGGCTCCTCCTCTCAAATACTCTTAACCATTATAATAATATTTTTGACAAAAACGAAATTGCACATGAGAACATTTAAACTAGTAGATGTTTGTGACTATCCTCGCCTAGTGATGCGTTTAAAGGATCTTCCCTGCTGGTCGACTGGCGGAGAGGAGATCACAGCATTCAGCAGTCTGGCTGGCAGTCTCAAAAATACACGGGTCAGTGATGAGAGGGGCCAAATATAAATACTTTTGCAGGCAGCCATTTTGTTGTCACCATGGCTGGCCCTTTAATTTTCATGTGGTTATTAATGTTTTTTTAATCACTTCTTAAAACAAATATAGAAATAAAATAGTCATTTATCTCTTCCCTTGGAAGACACCGGAAAACAAAAAGTTACACATACTGTAGATAGCAGCAGCGAGCGTCACTATTAGGGGAAAACATCCTTTAAAACACTCAAGACAGACGTACGTCAACATCCCTGTTAGGATGTTATAGTCTGTCAATTCCTCCAACCCCGTACATAAAGGTAAAAGGTTAAAATAAAAGCCAAACTAAAAACATGTAAATTAAAAATAAAACCGCAAAGATGTCACTTAGTTAGCAGGTCTATACTTACGTACATGATGTAAGGTGATATAACCCTGAGTGCGTGGCCCAGAGTTTGGACAGGGAGGCGGGAGTTCATTCATTGGCTTCAGGGATGAGCGAACAACCGTCCTGCGTAGGGGCGGACACCTCCCGACCGCCCAGAGAGAGTGCTACTGCGGGAGGGCTGCAGCAGAGTCTTCCCCTATCTGGCTAAACTAGGCAGTGGTCTGGTCTGGTCTGATAGGACTTAGATTGAATCTCGTTTTTTGGGGAGGGGGGTTGATCCCCAGTGCTCCTCTCCCTCCGTTTTGCTCAAGCCTAAATTTAGGGGCTCACTTAGACTCACTCCCACCTCTTGACACTTGTCAACAAGTTTCCTCAGTTTATCAGTTTTACCTCCCTCCGCAGCTTCAAACAGCAGGCGCTGGAAAGGGACAGAGGAGAGGAAAAGGGAAGGGGGGTAGGTGAACGTGCGTGCATTATCTGCCAGGTGGAACAAAAAAGTCTTAACGTTTTTCTGTTGAGGTGTGTGTGTTATAGAGATAGTATCGGCGGGGGAAATTACATCTTTCCATAGGGTGGCACACAGTGGAAGGTTTTGCAGGGCTTGCTGATAAAGAAGCCGGACCTACAACAAACAAAAACACCAAACGCGGGCGCCACATGTCAGTTTAGCGGAGGACAAGGACAAAACAGGAGAAAGAGCATGGAATAAGGTCAGTGGTTTTAGTGACTAGTACAGTTTTTACTCTCTAATACACCAAACCGTTACCAAGCAACAACATCCAACCATTCCATTTTGTCACCGTGGTCAGATGTAAGCCTTTTAACTGTCATACATTACATTGTGGGAACACTGATAATAGCCTGTAGGGAAGAAATAGATTACAACAAAATGAAGGGAAGATTATGGGACAGCTGGGTCAAGGTAAATATGCAAAGTGGAACACCGACACACAAGAGGTTGTGACAGCAACACAGAATCAGCAACAGGTTAACAGAGCAACATGCATCATATACCGTATATCCAAACCACCCCCTGCTAACTTCCAGTCATATCTCCCTCCATGTTAATATCCCTCTCCCTAAACTATTACCTTCATCCATCCACTCCTTTACCAGTCTTTTACTCATCTCTCACTGCCCCTACTTATTTGTCTTTCATTCCCCCCGCCCGCCCGCCCGCCCGCCCGCCCGCCCACCCACCCACCCACCCACCCACCCACCCACCCCTACTAACTCACCTCGGAGCGCTCCTTTAGTTCCCTCTCCACAGCGATCACTCTGCCGAAAAACACACAGCACAAAAGTCTGTCAGCACTTGAATAGCAGGCAATTCCTGCTATTCAAGTGCCTGTGCAGCAGCTTTTCAAAGCTGCGATTGAAGTTGGACAGAAGCTGCATTTTGTATGTGAAAAAGGCCATTTGAGAAGTGCATTAGAACAGTGAGAATCCATCTAGAAAAAATATTCACCTTGTTGCCATACCAGCAGCACAAGTGCTGTTCAGCGAAGAGGAGAGAGTTGGACTTACATTTTCCAGTTGGCCAGACAGTTTGGAACGCTACTGCTCAACATTCTGGCCTGGAATTTCAGATGTTCTATGTTTCCATCCTGCCATTCTTGATGTAGCAACCTATACAACAACAAATCAAACCTAACCGTCTGCACATTACAGGCCCTAGACAATAAATATTAGACCCAGCCATAACACTAGAACCTAGACAATAACATATTCCACAAACAGACAACTGCAGACGTAACCATACAACGACTAATATACCCAGCAGTCTAAACTTTAACAATAACAAGTCGCCAAAACATAATTCCAACGGGAATATATTTCCACTTCTAAAACCCTCAGTCCATGTCTAAGCAAGCATAAATAGTTAGCTACAATTGGCTCATAGTTTGTCTGCTGTGTGTATCGGGTGCTTTGGGTACCTCAGGGCAAGTTCAGCGTTGGTGGGCATGGTGTATCGTAATCTCTCCAGGACATGGGGGTGCTGGGTATGGGGCAGACAGCTCAGGTAGTGGGAGACAACCTGCCGAGCACAAGTCCAGAGGTTTGCAAATATGAAAACGTTTAAGTTAGGGACGCAAACAATGTCACAAACCGATGAAAGTTAAATGCTATCAATTCAAGGAGTCAATTCCTGACAAACAGAATCTGAGGGGTTAGGTGGATTTCTGGCAGTGGAAGCTGGTGGGAGGAGCTATAGGAGAACATGCACATTGTAATGGCTGGAATGAAATCAATGGAACGGATGTAGTTTCCATATGTTTGATACCATCCATTAATAGTCTCCCGAGTGGCGCAGTGGTCTAAGGCCTGGTTCAAATCCAGGCTCTGTCGTAGTCGGCCGCGACCGGGAGACCCATGGGGCGGCACACAATTGGCCCAGCGTCGTCCAGGGTAGGGAGTGGCCGGCAGGGATGTAGCTCAGTTGGTAGAACATGGCGTTTGCAACGCCAGGGTTGTGGGTTCGATTCCCACGGGGGGCCAGTATGAAAAATTCGAAAAAATAATGTAGGCACTCACTAACTGTTAGTCGCTCTGGATAAGAGCGTCTGCTAAATGACTAAAATGTAATTCCATTCTAGTCATTACAATGAGCACATCCTCCTATAGCTCCTCCCACCAGCCTCCACTAATTTCTGTGATCTGGTCCATGGCATGCGGTTATGGACTCCCGAGGTCACAGGTACGGGGAAGACAAAGGTTAGAAAACTTTCCGGATTGAAATGAGCTGACATGATTGCTTATTCTACATTTCAGAGGCATGTTTGTTCTACATTATACACTGAGTATACAAAACATTAGGAACACCTTTCTAATATTCAGTTGCACCCCCTTTAGCACTCAGAACAGCCTCAATTCGTCGGGGCATGGACTACAAGGTGTTAAAAGCGTTCCACAGGGATGCTGTCCCATGTTGACTCCAATGCTTCCCACAGTTGTGTTAAGTTGGCTGGACGTCCTTTGGGTGGTGGACCATTCTTGATACACACGGGAAACTGTTGCGCGTGAAAAACCCAGCAGTGTTGCAGTTCTTGACACACACAAACCGGTGCGCCTGGCACCTACTACCATACCTCGTTCAAAGGCACTTAAATCATTTGTCTTGCCCATTCACTCTGTGAATTGCACACACACACACACACACACACACACAATCCATTTCTCAATTGTCTCAAGGCTTAAAAATCATGATTTAACCTGTCTCCTCCCCTTTATCTACATAGACTGAAGTGGCTTTAACAAGTGACATCAATAAGGGATCATAGCGTTCACCTGGATTCAAGGGAAAATATTATTTTTTACATTTCTATCAGAACGTTCACAATGTTATTCCCTGCTGAACACAACCCAGTTACCTACCTTGTTGTGAAATCTGAAGCAGTTCCAGTACTGGGCCGAGCTGAACCGAACCTCCAGCCTGGACGGGACAGTTACTAGGCAACGCTGAACCAGATCTGATAACATCCGGAGCGCTCTGCTGTTGGAAGGGCTCCCAGCTAGCTTACTGCTGGTAAAGAGGAGATAACTGGAGACAGAACAGTTAGACCGTTAGTCAGGTTAGGTCTCTGGGCCCTCCCCCACCTGGCTGTGTGGACATGATATTCCTATGGCAGCCCCTCTCAGAGGCTAGCTGATAACCAACCACTGTGGTCTGATTAGATTCAACCTCATCCTGATTTAAGGCCTGTACTCCCGAGGCCCTTTTATTTTACGTATGTCTGTTATCACTGCTATAAGGATCTTCAGATCTGGCTTGTTATGGCTTGACCCTCTTCAGAGGTGTCCCCTTCACCGCATGGGATGATCTTACTACCCTTATGGATGGCAATGGTGGGTGAAAGGCTGAATGCAATTGCAACGGACAAATGCTGACAAGTTGTTGTAAGACTTGACTCACTCCATCCACAGTTTGTGAAGAACATCCAGCTGCATTATGGCTCCCAGGGCTCTCTCGAAGGCATCAATCACCTCCCCTACATTACTGTGCACCCACTGCCACAGACTGCAAAACAAGACACCACAAAATTAAATATCGCCTGACTGTATGAAATTATTGTTATGATCAGGAAGCCCAACTGTCGTCATGTCGTCTTGTATTTATACATTTTTAATAACCTAATTATAAGCCTTTTATAAAGGTAACCTTATTGTAAACTGTTACCGATAAACGTTAACGACGGTGCATTGAACTGCCATATAAGAATAAGAACTGTGCTTGTGTCAGCCGGCATATCACATCACAATACTTACCAATGAACGAGGTTTAGGTAAGGCATCTGGTGGCTAAGCTGCTCTTTAAGTTGTTTTTTGATAACTGGGCCTCTTAGGATGTCCTCTGTTGGAATACAAAGGATGTACCTTGAAAATAAATGGAGATCACATTAATTCATGGAACATTGAACTGTATACCACTGTAGAAAGGAAGCAACTTGGTTTATAAAAAGTCAGGTTGTTTTTGACGTTTTAGGAGTTAGGACATTCATTTCTGCTTAAGTTCTAGGAGAAAATGACCAACCGTAGCACATCCACAGGTTGCTGGTCACTTCTATCCTCGTCACAGAAAGACAGGACGAACCCTCGGAACAGAGGAGCGATGCAACTGGACTTCTCCTGTTCAGAGATATGATACAGGCTAGCTAGATCAGGCTAGAAACTGTGTACAAGCAACTTGAAAGACACTCGAGCGAAAAATGGAAAGGAATCAGCTCTTAAATAGTGTTTTGGTAAATGTTCTTGTCATTAAAAAAATCCTTCTGTGAATCCTGTCAGAAATCTTAGTTGAAAAGACACAGAATGACTGTTAAAATGTAAATTGACAATGCCTTTCTTAATTGAAGGGGCTGGATACATAAAGTTGTATTGAATTGAACAGGAGCTCCACACAGCCCACTGAGAGAGAGACTGACCTGAGCCATGAGGAACTTGCAGGTGTGGTAGAAGACCTCTGCATTGTGTGGACACTGGGAAAGTGCCCGTAGCCACACCCCAACACCCTGCTCAACATCCCCCTTCCCCACATACAGGCCTGACAGGGCATCTAACAGGGCACAGGAGTGCGGGCACAGCGCCAACAGGGACTCGCACAGCTCAAGGCCTGCATCGTACCTACGGGATGCAAGTCATTTTTATGTTAAGACTAGCAGTAGATATTAGTAGAGTTTAATGACACACCCACCCAACCACAAACGCACACACATTAACCTTTTACACTCGTTGTAATTTGCCGATAGGGGTAAATTGAAATGTTTCATATAGAAAAAATATGAAAAGCATATGCATAACCATGGTAGCAATTGAAAGGGAACAGTTTGGAGATATTGGGGAAATGATTAGACCAACAGGTGAGTACACAACAGTTTGCCTGACAAGACTGAATCCAAACATAATACTTGATTTTATGTGCATTTTAAAAGCATGTACTTTATGCCACATTTGTTGATAAGAAAATCTGAAAATACTCTGGATACATTCAGTAACATACGAATATTCCTGGAAAATGTGGGGTAGGTGCAACATAAGACCCCAAATAATGACAAGGGTTTGAGTGAGAGGACTAACTGGTGTCTTCAAGTGGCCACCACACCTCTCCGAAGTGTGCACAGTTCCTAAGCAATTTCAACGCACTTTTAGGACTAAAAGAGTCATTAAATGATAAAGTGCTTTTATAAGCACGCCTAGCTGTGCCATTGAGGAACTAGAGCAAGCACATTTATAGTTGTTTTGTTTTCGAATACAACCCTGCATCCCTCTGCCATCACACAATTACTGGCGTTGTTTATGCAATCCAAAAACGTTCCATTATAAATTGCAATCTGGGTCAGGTGGGCATGGTTTCAAAGCTTGTTTTATTGCCAATATGAGTTATAAATAATAAAATACGATCTTGCAGTGTTAGGCTTTCACAAGGCAATTCAGAGAATTCAGGCAATTCAGAGAAACAGATCGTAATTTGTGTCCTGAGTTAATTCAGGTGTTTGTTACGCGGCAAATTTACGCGGCAAATTTTCTTCCCAATAAACAAACATAGGCTCATTCTGTTCAGAACAACCCAGGGAATGACGCCATGTCATCTTGTAACGGTACATCAAACAGAGTGATCATAAACGTTGACACTGTATATGGTTTGGAAATGTGAAGTGTACATTTGGACACGTGGGTGTTTGGCTTGCTTGTATGACAACAAAGCGGTATTTATTATAATCCTCAACATCTCATCTTCCAAAATACATTGAGTCCTCTTAAATTTACAGCATTTCACTCACTCAGACAACAAAAGTTCAGAACGGCTGTCAGTCAAAACCCATACAGCGCTGTGAAGAGAACCAGAGCTCTGACGTCAATTTACAGCATGTTACTATGCTTGTTAGTGCCCAAATCAACCTGTATACGGGTACGAGTGTAAAGGGTTAATACCTTGCTTGTCCAAACACACAAACCTGATTTTATTGGGTTCCACACACACACACACACACACACACCTAGCTAGCAGAATGCCAGCGTTGCGCTTACCTTCCCAGCAGGCTATAGGCAGTGATGAGGTTAGTGTGTAGAGGCAAACAGGCCAGGGTTCTTTCACTGGGAGGCAGAGTCTGGTCTGTGCACTGACGCAGTGCATCTGTAGGTTTGAACAAACCAGTATGAAATCAATGGCCCTCTCTCTCAGCTGTCGACTTCAGAAAAACTGAAGACTAGTGACTGAGTGGAAATAGTATAACTGGAAGCATAATGGTTTTATGTGTCTAAATAAACTACAATTACCATGAGCAACTTGTGGAAAAAGTAAACATTTAAAATTGTTTGAAAAAGCTAAGTAGGAGACCTGGAAAAAGCATGGACAGTTTCTATGTGGGTGTTGTTGAACCCCGTGTCGTTGAACCCCGTGTCGTTGAACCCCGTGTCGTTGAACCCCGTGTCGTTGAACCCCGTGTCGTTGAACCCCGTGTCGTTGAACCCCGTGTCGTTGAACCCCGTGTCGTTGAAGCCCGGCTCACCTTCGAACACAGCGATTAGTGTGTCAGGCTCTGTGCGGACATCGAGCGGTGTTCTCCAGGGGAGGTCAAAGGCCTCGATGCTGACCACTCGGGAGGGATTGGAGTTAGCTGGGTCGTACAGGCTGGCCGGCAGGCGGTCAAACTCCATCAGGTGGATGAAGGATAGCCAGACCAGGCAGCGGTCACTTATGGTCAGGTAATCAGCAATGCACCGCTCAGTGACTGACTTCAAGGAATTCTGAAATGAACAGGTTATCGTTCGCCCTTGAGCATCTTGGGAACCTTGTGCATTTTGTATAGCAGTAGCTAATCCAAGAGTTATGAGTCAGTTTGGCCTGATTGTAGCAATAAGGTGTCATATGGCTTGGACCCGAATATTGATGTGTGCAGCTATATTGGCTGCACTCGAGGTTGTCTTTTTTGCAGTCTCTTACCTGTAGGATGGCCAGGGCGTTCTGTAGCCGGCCTGTGAACACGCTGAGCTGGACCCTGTAGAGTAGAGACTCCAATAGCTGGAAGGACAGCCTCTCAGAGAGACCACTAGTCCCAGCACAGTCCAGCAGGTACTGCAGCAGACGACCACACACATAGTCCTTCCCCTCAAACGAGCTCTCCATGGTTAGGTACTAGGGAAGGAAAAAAGACAGCAGTTACATCTAGTCCTGCTGATATTCCTCTGTGCTATTTAACTAGGGACTGATTTCCACCTGGGACACCAGGTGTGTGGTAGTCTTCAGCCAATCAATAACGTCAAGTGTCCAAGGGAAATAAAAACCATCAGGACTGCGGAACCGAAGGTCCTGAATTATGCACCCTACAGCCAGGCCTCAGAGGTGGACACACAAAGCCCTGTAGAGGAAATGGCCCACAGTAGGTTGTCAGAGGGTTGGTTGGACATGAGAACTTACACTCCACCAGACTTGGTAGTCGGAGGCGTGCTCCACAGCCATCTCACACATCTCCTGCACCTCATCCCTCTTCCCTCGGCGGGAGAACAGAGACAGGTAATGGCACCAGATCTCTGGGTTGTCCCGGTTGTCTTCCAGGGCCCGAGACAGAGTGTTCAACGCAGCGTCCAGGCACTCAGCCGCTGACCTACAAGGAAGCAACATAACACAATTTATTGCATATCACACATTTGCATTTTCCATTTAGCCTAAACCAGGATTCAATCCCTTAAGGTTAAAAATACACTCAGTGACCAACTTAACACACCGGAGGGTCTGTATTTGAGGGGAATCCACTTACGTTTCTTTCTGGCCGAGATATTTGAATGCCAGTTTGATCCAGAGCTGTGCGTTGTGGGGGCTCTCTAGGACACTGGTCTCCAGGTTAGATATGTCGTCAGTCTCACTAATGAAGTAACGCTTGTCGTCTGGGGTCCCACACACATCCAGGGAAGCAGAAAAACTTATCTTGGAACAACCGTCTGTGACAAGGAAGGAAACAGACAAACAGCAGAGGTTTAAGGTCAGATCTCCAGGAGAAAAACAAACAACAACAGTTGTGTTCTGCACAACTGAAGAGAAGCTATCGCTGTGTTAGTGCTGCTTCCATTATTTACACTGCGCTTCAGATCAGTTGTAATTATGCTTTGAAGACTGGTTTGTTGCTGGGAGATGAGCCAACTGACTAACCAGTTCTCACCGTATTTGACTGGACCAGTGTCTCTACTCTCATCCCAGCTGTCGTCCCCTGTGTTTGGGCTAGCCTGGTGAGCGGGCTGAGGCCTCCATCTCCTGAGATCCTTACACGTGGTGAAGGGAGGGACTAGACAAAACACAAGTTAGACACGTCAGAAGGGTTCTATTCTTGAACATTTTCTAAAAGAGTACATTAACTGCTCAATACAGTGTTCAACCCTAACTGCTAGAGTAAGAATGGTATGGACATCTCACCATGTCTTTTGCTTTCATTCACTTTGCTGACGAGTAGAACAGCCTTCTGGTCCATCCCCATGCGATCCTTGTTAGCCCCAAACAGCTGTTTGATGTACTTCTCTGAAAATAGGACAACCAATCAACCATTGTCAGTAAAAGCCTTAAACATGCATTTATCATGGAATAGATTCCAAAACGTGCACTATCAATCACCAATACATACATTCTAAGCTCAATGGTATTTCAATATTGCCAGATGGCAGTGTGGTTCTATTACCTGTGGCAACATTGATGTCATCAGTAGTACTGCTCTCGGAGCAGCCAATCAGGGCCAGGTTGTACGACAGGATATCCTGGAACAGCTGGTTTCCACCAAAAGTGCAGTTTCTCATGTGCTGCCTAAAACACAGACCAGATCACCCAGAGGAGGGAGGTGGGTTTGTTATAATGAAACAGACATGAGTCTAGATTCACATGCATGTTTACACACACACACACTAAGAGGACTGACTTACCACTGGCAGTCATCGTCATTGCATGTGCCCGTGAGGTCGAAGCGACAGAAACATTTTTTGGGCGCTACAACGTTGCTGTAAGACACAGAACTGAGTGATAACTTCTCCTTGGTCCGAAAGTATGGACTGAACCTGAAGGCAAAAGAAGATGAGGTTTGATTGATGGCAAGATATTGTTTTTCTTGGCACGAGTAATTGGGAGCTACCCTAGTAGTGAACTAGCCACCTACCTATAAGACTTGAAGACCAGGAGAGGGCTGCGATATGGTCCAAAGGGGACAGGCTTCAGCTCGACACGGCCTGATTGGCCAGCCATGGTGTCCACATCCACCGATATCACCTGCACATTAAAGTAATGAACACAAACATTTCAGTCTCTCAACCATGGAGAATAAATGAAAAACATTTGTGTTGTATGCTAGTCCAGAAACTGCACATATCAACCAAATAAGTAGTAAGAAGAAAAACTGTTTCAAGGCAGCATTTTTTAAAACCACAACCAAAGGAAATTTGAATTCAGCATTAGCGGGTCCAGTTAAAGTTATATATTATTATTATTATTATTATTATTATTATTATTATTATTATTATTATTATTATTATTATTATGGTTTACCTTCCCAGAAGGGGGTTTCTCCACAGTGCCCCCTAGCGCCAGTAGTTCCCCCAGCAGCAGCTCTCCCAGCCTGGCCTGCTGCTGGTCCCTCCTCCGCAGGGCCTCCACATCTAGCCCCAGGAAAAGCTCCCCGGGCCCAGAGGCCTTAACCGTAACAGGCTTGGCTGGACTATCCTTGACCAGCCCAGCCCCACCAGGGTCCAGCTTAGGCTTGGTGAAGGAGCCGGTCTCTCTGAAGGAGCGTCTACGAACACTCCGGGCCGAGGGCGTGGCTGTAGCGGCAGGTTCCAGGTCGCTCTCCTCTGTCTCTGTGGGGTCGTCGCTGCTGACCAGGGTGAGTTTATCCTGGGTGAGGTCGTGCAGGGAGGGCTGGGGCAGGGGGAAGGGGCTGGTGGGGGGACCGCTGGGCTGGCGAGCCTTGGGGAGAGGGGTGGAGGTGGCCTGGGGTGGAGGGGGTTCAGGGACAGCCCCTCTGTTGTGGAGGGCCTGGGACTCCTTGAGTTTCTGGATCTTGAGGGCGTATTCTGACTCCAGCTGCTGCAGACGCCGCTTCTGGGCCAGGAGGTCGGCGAAGTGCCTTTCTGAGCCGCGGGGGGCCACAGAGACTTCTACACACAGACGCTTCACAGGCTGAGGAGCGGAGGGTGAGCAGAGAAAGGGTTTAGAGAACTCTGGCCTTTACTTATGGCTGGTTCGTGTTTAGTAGAAAGGAAATGGGAAAATACATTTTGAAACAGAGGTGGTGTTACATGAATAAGTCCAATAACAATAATTTTCCGCTTCAAAACAATTTATGATGTGCCCTACTGGACATGTCCTTGTTGAACACGTCTATGTTTTATCAACAAGTAAGGGCTCCGTCATGGTATAGTGTGGGTCGGTAAGGTGTGGTATGGTGCTCACCGAGGGGTGGCTGACGTCAGTGCGTCGTTTCTGACCCCCTGGCCTTCTGCCTGCCGCAGCCTGGGCTTGGACCAGCTCCTCCTCCAACTTCAGGCCGTTGTTCTTCTTCACTGAGACGCGGTGCTGAACACGATTAACCTACGGGGTGGGAACATACATGACAGACGTTAAAGGGTGGTAACAAATGACATATGAAAGCTGATACATAACACAACCTAATGACAAGTATGATAACTGCAATAATATATACAGTATATTTTATTTGTTATATCTCATCAGAACCTTGATTAGCTGAATCAGGTGTGTTGAGTGAAAACCAGCACACCCCCAGTATCTCTCCAAGGAGGAGGGTTGGTAATCAGGTGTGTTGAGTGAAAACCAGCACACCCCCAGTATCTCTCCAAGGAGGAGGGTTGGTAATCAGGTGTGTTGAGTGAAAACCAGCACCACCCCAGTATCTCTCCAAGGAGGAGGGTTGGTAATCAGGTGTGTTGAGTGAAAACCAGCACACCCCCAGTATCTCTCCAAGGAGGAGGGTTGGTAATCAGGTGTGTTGAGTGAAAACCAGCACACCCCCAGTATCTCTCCAAGGAGGAGGGTTGGTAATCAGGTGTGTTGAGTGAAAAGCAGCACACCCCCAGTATCTCTCCAAGGAGGAGGGTTGGTAATCAGGTGTGTTGAGTGAAAAGCAGCACACCCCCAGTATCTCTCCAAGGAGGAGGGTTGGTAATCAGGTGTGTTGAGTGAAAAGCAGCACACCCCCAGTATCTCTCCAAGGAGGAGGGTTGGTAATCAGGTGTGTTGAGTGAAAAGCAGCACACCCCCAGTATCTCTCCAAGGAGGAGGGTTGGTAATCAGGTGTGTTGAGTGAAAAGCAGCACACCCCCAGTATCTCTCCAAGGAGGAGGGTTGGTAATCAGGTGTGTTGAGTGAAAAGCAGCACACCCCCAGTATCTCTCCAAGGAGGAGGGTTGGTAATCAGGTGTGTTGAGTGAAAACCAGCACACCCCCAGTATCTCTCCAAGGAGGAGGGTTGGTAATCAGGTGTGTTGAGTGAAAACCAGCACACCCCCAGTATCTCTCCAAGGAGGAGGGTTGGTAATCAGGTGTGTTGAGTGAAAACCAGCACACCCCCAGTATCTCTCCAAGGAGGAGGGTTGGTAATCAGGTGTGTTGAGTGAAAACCAGCACACCCCCAGTATCTCTCCAAGGAGGAGGGTTGGTATGACCACACCTGCTATATACACTTCCAAGGGCAACGGAAAGGAGAACTGAATTAAATGTGTCGTGTCCTTTACAGACATTACTTTAGCTTGGCATTTTCCCAACATTCCCAGTAGAAACATCTCCTATTCCATCATTCAGCTTCCACTGACTAAAACCCTCAGCCATCTGACTCATTGCTCTCAACATGCCCACCCAGACACAAATACCTCAGCTAGGAATTTACTTCACACTTCACAGCTCATTCCCATTTAATGTCATTCCCCCTGGGTTCCTTCCTGACTCTAACACCCACCTGTTCCTGGAGTCTGTTGAGGAGGGTCTTGTTGGCGCTGACTATCTTCTCTGAGGCCAGGAGCTGTTCTTTGAGCTTGGCCACTTTGGCCTCCGCTGCCTTCAAAGCCTCCTCCTTCTTCTGCTCCTGCTGTAAGAGCTGCCTCAGGATGGCCTCGTCCTTCAGGAGCAGGTTTCTGAGAGGAGGAGGGGTAGAGAGAGATGGAAAACCATAAGTCCAAGTAATTCCCTAATGTGAGACAATTACTGAAAAGACCAATGTGTTTGGGCATCAGCCTTCGTCAAGGTGTTTTTTTCTTCTGGTGTTTGAGGCACTGACCCGTGTTTGGTCAACCTGGTCTCTGCCTCGGTCAGCTGTAGCTCGACCGCTGCCTTGGCAGCGAAGTCCACATCGGGATCAGAGCCTGCAGGAGAGGGCACTCCTCGGGGACTGTGGTCCTTCAGAATCTTCTGCTTCTCCCTACTGCAGTCAGACAACAAATAAAACAGTAAGACATTTTTAGATTTCAGTGAGTATAGTCCATTCTGTTCCATCAGTGACATTTTAAAGAAATATCCTCCCTCACTTTGGTGCCATTAATATTGCACTGCTGGTTAATGAATCGTTAATGAATGTTATATCCATAGACAATGCCTGGGTGGAAAAACTACATATCACTTTGTCAGACAATCCTCTGAAAACTATACCTGGCTATTTCTTCTTTGAGCAGCTGATACTCCTCCTTCTTCTCGTCAGATAGAGCCTCTGGGGTTCTGACTGGGTTGTTCTCCTTCTCAGGTCCTGTGGTCGGTTTGGGTTTCGCTGCCTGGAAGTTGAGAGAAAGAGCATTACAGCCTGTCACCCTTCAACCACATACAATTAGCACACTTGCGCGCATCTCAAATGAAGATTCTGCCATTCGTATATAAATTGAGAAGATGTCCTCAGAGGCCAAACTGTTGGACCACACACACACACGTACGTACCTCTGCATTCCTGCGTGCCTCCTTAATCATGAACTCCAGGCCTCCAAAGACAGACTGTGTCTGTGTAGAACTGCTGCAGGCCTCCATGTCTGAGTCACTGTCGTCTGAACCGTTCAGTTGTACCACCACAGCCTTGTGCCGTGGGAGCTGGGGGAACAATAAAACGTATGATTTGAATTGGCCATTGTGATGAATGGCCACTGACTTCACAACTCAAAATCAATTAATCTCAAAATAGGAGTGCCAAGGTCACCTCTGTCTTATTCATTCTGATCTGAAAGGCCAAATGTATCCTATATCAGCCCTCCTACTCTGGGATGCTTTGTGAATACGGGCCCTGGGATGCAGTCTAAGATGAGCTTATTGTTCAAGGGTGACAAACCACAGAGCGCTCTGGGAACATAGCTGAGGCCGGGTGTCATTGGGCACACATGTGCTGCTGTAATGTAATGTTGCCTATGGCAGCCAAGTCATTGTTCTTATAAGACGACACTACATGTAGTTACATAGCGCAAAGATACCCGTGGCCTCCAAATCCCTGTTTTACACAGTTCAGCTGGAAAAAAAGTAGCATATGTCATTTTTGGAAAATATGACTTTGAAGTTAAACATTTTCAATAGAGCATATTTTAAAACATGTTTTTCAGCACATGCAAGACAACGAGACAGTTTTCCATTCAGAGAAGAATCAGTCACAAATCCACTGACTTATTTTTTCTGCATATTTCCATGACAGTGTTTGAAACGGTTTGGAATATAGGTGAACAGAATGAACGCTATTCCGTAAAATTGTGGTTGAAAGTGAGAAAGAATGAAAGCTCTTCAGGACTTTGTGGGTTTTAAGGAATGTGAACTATTTGGATCTCTATGGTTTCTTCGCCTGGCTAGGAGGGTAGATATGTGGCCATCACTCAATGGTTTGATTTCCTCCTATGGTATTATCCTTACCATCAGTGGCAGCCTGGGAAGGTGGTGCCCACGGCTGAACTTGTTGCTCCATGGCTGGGGTGCTGTGTTGAGGCTGACCACACTAGGGTTGCTCCTGGGCACTGGTTGGACCAGACTGACCAGGACGGAGGGAGGGGGGGGGCCGCTGTCAAGGGTCATATCCTACGGGGGGAGGAATACATTTTTAAAGCCAGATTCACATTTTACATTTACATTGTAGTAATTTAGCAGACGCTCTTATCCAGAGCGACTTACAGGAGCAATTAGGGTTAAGTGCCTTGCTCAAGGGCACATCGCAGAGTTTTTCACCTAGTCAGCTCGGGGATTAGAACCAGCGACCTTTAGGTTACTGGCACAACGCTCTTAACCACTAAGGTACCTGCCACCCCATTCACCAAGTCCACTGTTCAAAGACAATGCTCTGCTGTAGAACAGGAAAACGATATCGTGATTGAGTTGCCCATCTGATACAGCAGGGTACTGAGATAAGTTTGAACATTGTTTAACACCTGTAAATTAACAGAAGAGTGAAAAATATGCATCTTCTGTTGAGAGGAATTAACTTTCCAGAGTATGACTATGACTTAAGGGAACCCTCCTCTACTCCTAACACAATACAGATAACACAGGCATGTCACTTTGCCCTCCTATGGAGCCATATAGTGTTGTACCTCGGGCAGTGGCACCTTCTTGTTGGTCATAGACATGAGGCAGGTCTCTCTAAGCAACATCTCCTCTTCCTCTTCCTCGTCAGCGAACGGCGGCTTTGGGGGAGGCTCCAGCTCATCCGGGGGTGGGGGCATTGGGGGTAATGGTGGAGGGGGCGCAGATGGAATGACGGACAGGAAACGCGGCTGTCCCAAATCCTGGAAAGAAAGAGGAAGCTGGTTAGTTACCCCTATAAGAGTTGCATAGAACAGTCCTTGTTTAGAGTTTGGGCTGGAACGTACCATTCTGCATTGAGTGTGGGATTCCATACGGAAAGGCATGGGCATGTGACTGAAGCATCCTGGGATCTCAAATGGATCATGTACTGGAGAAGACGCTGAAAGAGAAGATGACAGAATTTTATACAATCAGATTCAGCCATAGAAATAAAACTGCCAAACATTGCAATAAGAGGCCTGGATTGATGGCCAAGTCCTTAGCTATAAACAATCATTTCACCATGTTGGAGGGGTTCTATAAAATCCCTTCAGAAATGTTCAACAGTGCAGTGAGTGCATTGGCAGGTGAGCTGGTTGCTCACCTGGAGAATTGGTCTCACTATCAGTATCCATGGCAACCTCGTCATAGTTGTCATACTGGTAGAGGTTCCCTGATGTGTCCAATCCCTGTTTACCAGAATACTTCCTGGTGTGGTCGCTGTCCTTGGACTGAGATTGATACACAAATGACACATTTCAACTGAGGCCCTCAGATTATCTATTTTTCAATCATTTTGCATGTCCATGCCACTGACAGTAATGTAGGATAGCTCTATTCCAATAGAGTTAAGAGAAAGAACCCCACATACCACATTAACAGATGTTAAGCAGAGACTATACAATTTTAAAAGGTTCACATATAATTGAAGGCATCAGATAACCTAAATGAAATGCCTAGGGGGTAGGGGCAAGGTCTTTTTTCAGGATCTTTCTCTCCCTGCCAGTCTTACCTTGCTCCGGTTGCGCAGCAGCGGCGGCTTGGACCCGCCCACCAGCTTCATGAAGCGGTTGTACTGCTCGTCCTGATTGGACAGGTCCCGGATCTTGCGGATCTCTTCCTCCCTCCGGCGGCGTTCCTCCTCCTCCTGTCTCCGCTGCTCCTCCTGGTCTCTCTCCTGTTGGAGCTTCCACGTCCTTAGCTGCTGCTTTCGGAATGCCTGCTTGGCGGCCGAGCCTAGGGGATCAAAACCTATTTACTTTACTTAATCGCACATGGCAGTCACTATACATCACTAAATTACATAAATATTTACAGAGCTACAATGCATTATTAAAATACACAAGAACCAAGACGTGACCAACATTTCCAAAACCAGAATGTCATTGCGATGGAACGTTTGGTGCCAACATTGAGGACAGTTCGGATCTGAATAAGCAGAAAGGCCCTCCTCACCTGGGCTGACTGTCTTCCTCCCATGATACCCCTTGACCGGAGCTTTGCCTTTCTCCGCTGGAGGCTTAACCCCAGCCTTGGCCTTCTCCTGGGGCTTGTTGGCCAGAGCTTTGGCCTTCTCCGAGGCAGCAGAGGCAGACCTGGTGGTGACTCTGCCCCTCTCTGGTGGTGTGGCACTGGAGGCAGAGGAGCTGGAGGTCTTCTCCTGGGAGGGCTTGGCCTTGGTGATCTTATCCTTGCTCTCCTTCATCACTTGCTGTTCTTTCTGCTGCCACTTCCTGCTGGCTGACTGCAGGGCCAGGAGACGCAGCTGCAGCTCAGACAGGTCCTCATCTTCATTTCTCCCCTTCACTTCAGGCTGCAGGGAGACAGAGGGGGAGGGCCGGATGACCAGGATCCTAACTTGACATACACACACACACACAACTCAAACGTTGTGTCAATGGACATCTGGACAAACGTTCAAAAGAGCTGCAAACACACACCTCAAGTTAATATTTGTGCCTTGAATGGCTTACTCTAGATGCCATGCCTTAAGGGGATAGTTTGAGATTTTGGCTTTTAAGCCTTTTTTCTACATACCCAGAGTCAGATGAACTCATTAATCACATTTCCATTCAGTTTTTAATGCGAGTAAAGTCATACCATATAAAAACAACAATCACGAAAGCTGTGATGGAAACAGGAAGTTTCGGTAATTTTTTAAAAATGCAGACAGATAATTTGTTTGTTCGACATGGTGGGATTTATGTAGGTAAAATGTATGGATGCGATGGAAACACATTGAACTTTAGATTTTTATTCGGTACATGAAAACTTTAGTGAGAATGTACATTTTGTGTGCACTACGTCATCACGCACTGATTTTTATCCGCAACAAGTCAGTTTGGTGGAAACACACTACTGGTGGGAAAATGTGCATATTTTCTTTGTGAGGATTTTTGAATATTCGCATGAAAATCTGTCGCCAATTGGATGGAAAACTAGCTACAGATACCATTTTTCTCCCTCTGTGTGCAGTTTGAAGGTAGTTTCTGGAATTTCTAACTAGCTTTAGCGCAATAACGAAGTATACGGGATCTGCTAGTGTTAGCACAATCAACTAGCTGATCCCATAAACTTCCAGTCATTGCACTAACGCTAGTTAGCAATGGCTTCAGAAACTACCATAAACTTCCGTCAAACTGCACACAGAGACATAAAAATGGTATCCATGAGGTCACCTGACTTTGGGTAAGTAGAAAAAACAGGCTTTATTGCCTTATTATTATTATTTTTTAACAGATTCATACCTTGACAGGGGATTTAGCGGAGTCCTCTGATGATTCCCTGCAGCAGACTTTTGCATCCTTCTCCCCCTCTTTTTCATCTGCCTCTTTCTTCACACCATCTTTTTCCTCCTCTCCTGAAAAGACAGAAGAGAGCAGTGACACTATCAAGAGCAGTGACACTATCAAGAGCAGTGACACTATCAAGAGCAGTGTGCAGGTTTCTTCTTTTTTCTCATCTTATTCAACTGTTACCATGCACCTGCAAAAAAGATAGCTCAGATGTGCGAGTGCCTTTTGAATTTTGAACACTGTGGCTAATAAAACAATACATTATTGATTATAGTCAAGTCTTATCTGCTTCACGGTGTTGCCTTAGTTTGTGTTACCACATTGCTGCAGTGTTGTGTTATATAGTGGCTTTGTTACACACCTTTGGGAGTAGCAGCCGGGATAGCAACTGGTTCAACAGGACCTTTTTCACTCTCCACGTCACTGTCCTCCTCCTCTGAATCTTTGTTTTCCGTTTTTATTTTGAGCGCATCAATTTCTGCAGGAGTGAGGAGTTTCTGACGTAGAGGTTTGAGGTTGAACGCCTGAAAACCCCTTTTCTCCTCTGTCTTCTCTGGGCCTGGTGGGTCCCCTGCAGCAGCTTCATTGGGAATACTGTTAGTGTCGGGTAATGGCTCGGTTAGGGGAATACTTGCAGAGACCTCAGCCTCGTTCTGAGCTGGCAGGTCTTTGGGCTTCAGAACCAGGTTTTCTTCTTTTCTAATACATTCCAGCTCCAGCTGAATCTGCTTGTACTTCGTGAGCAGATCCTCGAAACTCTCGTCAACACCATTCTCGATTTTGGCAGCATTGTTGTTGTGCATCATCTGTTGGTTTCTTACCTGATTCCTCCCCATCATTACCTTCTCTGAGGTCAGGGAGTGAAGGAAAGGCACAATTAATGAGTCTGATGAGTTTGACTACAGACAGACTTTGACCCTAATAGCTAAATGTATTTAGATCCTAAACCCATTTCCAGCTTAATAACCCTGGGTATTTTGTTTTTAACTCAAAAAGCGATTAAATCAATTGAGTCTTGATGATAGGGAGGGGAATGCTGTGTAATGATCAAATGTCATTACAAAATGGCAGATCCAGATGCAATATGACTACACTGAAATCGAAGGCCTATATGACTACACTGAAATCAAGGCCTATTGAAGGCTAGTAGCTACAACCAGCCAAACAGAAAGACATGTTACAATGTGTAGTTACATTTGTTAGGCTTTTACCTTAACATTGTATCACACACTTTACAATCACATAGATGTCATGAGATGAATGCCAAAGGATACGTTTGTTTCTCGAGGGAGATTCTTTCTTGTTACTGTGATTCTCCCCGGGCACATAACGACCAGGGGGAGGCCTACCAGCCTCTCTCCCTCCCCCACATCCGTCTCCCCAGCCTCCTTGTCCCCAATCCCCGCGACCGTCATCTGGTTTCCCCTGGTGCCTCAATCGACCCAGGGCTGTGTGACTTCGTTCCCAGAAGCTGGAACGCGGGCTCTGGTCACAGCGAGGCCCCAGTGGTAACCGGACGGGTCCACTTGGTCCGCCTTGCTGTCTGTGGTTCGCGGTAAAGCCGGAACTGAGCGAATGAGGTCCGCGGTTGTATGGAATTAAAAGTCGAAAATCTGTAGGGTGGCTACCCATGATAGGTGGTAAAGTTCGTGGCGGTTTTTTCGATTTCCATGTATTTCGTGAGGAGTTGCTGTTATTCATGGTAGTAGGCCTCGTTGTACCCTGCTGCTGTACAAGCACATTTTCGTCTGTGTCATCATCGCAGATCTCTCCGTCTTCGAGCTCCCCTTCTTCTCTCGGAGACCGATTGCTTGAATTTGAATCCATTGTGTAGTCTAATCGAGTGTGATAGTAGTTAGATTAATACTTAAACGCACAACATCTGTTTATAATTACAAGATCGGATTTATAAATCGGTTGTTATGCCAATATTAACGAATATAAAGCTAACTAGCTACGCTCTTCCTCTTTCCACTTCTGCCTCGCTAATCTCGCTTCTCGCGATACTTCCTTTTCCACTTGAACAAAGAGTCTTCTTCTTCTTCTTCTATGAGATCATGGCGGTCCGCAAACAATCGTTCAAGTGCATGCCGCCAACTATTGTGCTGGAAAGTACGATCAATCATGATCTGCCCAATTCTGTTCTACCAGATGGCGTAGCAGTGCGGTCGTGTACTATTATTATTTAATTTTTTTGTCATTTAGCAGACAATGTGTGTACTATGTGTGTGTCCATGTAAATAGCCTCACTCAATGTGGAACGGATTCTATTATTGACTTACCTTTTATCTATAATCTCCAGTTGAAACTAGCTAGCCAGCTAACTAGCTACTTGCTATTAGCCACCGTTAGCGGTTTTCACCCAGAACATTGGATTTTCTGCTGGAATAACTGAATCACTGGACATTAACACTGGATCGCAACTAGCTAGCTGCAACCGAATGGATGTTGCTGTTGGCTAATCACCACTGCCCCCGAAGCAAGCACCAGTTAGCCTTGAGCTAGCCTCGAGCCAGGCCCATATCCCGGCTATCTACCTCTCTGTCTACCGGACGGGAGTAGCCAGCTAACTAGCTACTTGCTATTAGCCACCGCTAGCGGTTTTTCACCATTGTCCGTGGCCTGCACTACCTACCAGCCAGCTCTAGCCTGGACTATTATCGGCCAGTCTGCACTGTCTGCACAGCGTGGTTATCGACCCAGAACATATCGGTTTTTCTGCCGGAATCACTGAATCACTGGACCTTTAACTCCGGATCATCGCAACTAGCTAGCTGCAGCCAAATGGATGTTGTTGTTGGCTAATCAGCCTTGAGCTAGCCTCGAGTCAGGCCCATCTCCCGGCTATCTACCTCTCTGTCAACCGGACGGGATCTCCTAGAGTCGACATGGAGCCCCGCCGATCCATCACGACTGGTCTGCCGACGTAATCGTCTGTGGTTTCAACAGGCTTCCCGTTGCGACGACCACGAAGATCCATCTGCTAGCCCCGGCCCGCTAGCACACGCAAACAACAGCTGTGCTACCTGCTAGCCAGTGCTGTAGCACCAATTCGAACTGCTCTCGGACTCACATATTGCTGTTCACTGGACCTTATGATCACTCAGCTGCACAGCTGATGCCTGCTGCACTGTTCCTTTACACAGTGTCCTGTTTATCTGTTTAGCCTCAGCCCAAACTTTCATCGCCATTACCAGTTGTCTTAGCTCTCTCGAATAACACCTGTGATTGCTTTATGCCTCTCTCCCATGTCAATATGCCTTGCCTATTGCTGTTCCAGTTAGTTCTTATTATACAATTTCACTGTAAAGCCCCAAGTACCTCTCGAACTGCCTCAAATAGCTCCTTTGTTCCACCCCCCATACACGCGGAGACCAGCTCAATCGGTGCCTCCAGTGATGCTATCTCTTTCATTGTTACCCAACGCTTAGGTTTACCTCCACTGTACTCATATCCTTCCATATCCTTGCCTGTACATAATGCACTGAATCTATTCTACTACGCCCGGAAATCTGCCCCCTTTACTCTCTGTACCCAACACACTAGAAGACCAGTTCTTAAAGCCTTTAGCCGTATCCTTATTCTAGTCCTCCTCTGTTCCTCTGGTGATGTAGAGGTTAACCCAGGCCCTGCAGCCCCCAGTATCACTCCTACTCCCCAGGAGCTATCATTTGTTGACTTCTGTAACCGTAAAAGCATTGTTTTTTTGCATGTTAACATCAGAAGCCTCCTCCCTAAATTTGAGTTATTCACTGCATTAGCACACTCCGCCAACCCTGATGTTCTAGCAGTGTCTGAATCCTGGCTTAGGAAGGCCACCAAAAATTCAGAAATGTCCATCCCCAACTACAACATTTTCCGTCTAGATAAAACTGCCAAAGGGGGTGGAGTTGCAATCTACTGTAGAGATAGCCTGCAGAGCTCTATCATACTATCCAGGTCTGTGCCCAAACAGTTTGAGCTCCTACTTCTAAAAATCCACCTTTCCAGAAATAAGTCTCTCACTGTTGCCGCTTGCTACAGACCCCCCTCAGCCCCCAGCTGTGCCCTGGACACCATATGTGAATTGATTGCCCCCCATCTATCCTCAGAGTTTGTTCTGCTTGGTGACCTAAACTGGGATATGCTTAACACCCCGGCCATCCTACAATCCAAACTAGATGCCCTCAATCTCACACAAATTATCAAAGAACCTACCAGGTACAACCCTAAATCCGTAAACATGGGCACCCTTATAGATATCATCCTGACTAACTTACCCTCTAAATACACCTCCGCTGTCTTCAACCAGGATCTCAGCGATCACTGCCTTATTGCCTGCGTCCGTATTTTTTTTTTTTTTTTCCCACCTTTATTTAACCAGGTAAGCCAGTTGAGAACAAGTTCTCATTTACAACTGCGACCTGGCCAAGATAAAGCAAAGCAGTGCGATTAAAAACAACAACACAGAGTTACATATGGGGTAAAACAAAACAAAGTCAAAAATACAACAGAAAAAAAATATATACAGTGTGTGCAAATGTAGCAAGTTATGGAGGTAAGGCAATAAATAGGCTATAGTGCAAAATAATTACAATTAGTATTAACACTGGAATGTTAGATGTGCAAGAGATGATGTGCAAATAGAGATACTGGGGTACAAATGAGCAAAATAATTAACAATATAGGGATGAGGTAGTTGGGCGGGCTAATTTAAGATGGGCTGTGTACAGGTGCAGTGATCGGTAAGGTGCTCTGACAACTGATGCTTAAAGTTAGTGAGGGAGATAAGTGTCTCCAGCTTCAGAGATTTTTGCAATTTGTTCCAGTCATTGGCAGCAGAGAACTGGAAGGAATGGCGGCCAAAGGAGGTGTTGACTTTGGGGATGACCAGTGAGATATACCTGCTGGAGCGCATACTACGGGTGGGTGTTGCTATGGTGACCAATGAGCTAAGATAAGGTGGGGATTTGCCTAGCAGTGATTTATAGATGGCCTGGAGCCAGTGGGTTTGGCGACGAATATGTAGTGAGGACCAGCCAACAAGAGCGTACAGGTCACAGTGGTGGGTAGTATATGGGGCTTTGGAGACAAAACGGATGGCACTGTGATAGACTACATCCAATTTGCTGAGTAGAGTGTTGGAGGCTATTTTGTAAATGACATCGCCGAAGTCAAGGATCGGTAGGATAGTCAGTTTTACGAGGGCATGTTTGGCAGCATGAGTGAAGGAGGCTTTGTTGCGAAATAGGAAACCGATTCTAGATTTAACTTTGGATTGGAGATTCTTAATGTGAGTCTGGAAGGAGAGTTTACAGTCTAACCAAACACCTAGGTATTTGTAGTTGTCCACATACTCTAGGTCAGACCCGTCGAGAGTAGTGATTCTAGTCGGGTGGGCGGGTGCAAGCAGCGTTCGGTTGAAGAGCATGCATTTAGTTTTACTAGTGTTTAAGAGCAGTTGGAGGCTACTGAAGGAGTGTTGTATGGCATTGAAGCTCGTTTGGAGGTTTGTTAACACAGTGTCCAATGAAGGGCCAGATGTATACAAAATGGTGTCGTCTGCGTAGAGGTGGATCTGAGAGTCACCAGCAGCAAGAGCGACATCATTGATATACACAGAGAAAAGAGTCTGCCCAAGAATTGAACCCTGTGGCACCCCCATAGAGACTGCCATAGGTCCAGACAACAGGCCCTCCGATTTGACACATTGAACTCTATCTGAGAAGTAGTTGGTGAACCAGGCGAGGCAGTCATTTGAGAAACCAAGGCTATTTAGTCTGCCAATAAGAATGCGGTGGTTGACAGAGTCGAAAGCCTTGGCCAGGTCAATGAAAACGGCTGCACAGTACTGTCTATTATCGATCGCGGTTATAATATCGTTTAGGACCTTGAGCGTGGCTAAAGTGCACCCATGACCAGCTCGGAAACCGGATTGCATAGCGGAGAAGGTACGGTGGGATTCGAAATGGTCGGTGATCTGTTTGTTAACTTGGCTTTCAAAAACTTTTGAAAGGCAGGGCAGGATGGATATGGGTCTGTAACAGTTTGGATCTAGAGTGTCACCCCCTTTGAAGAGGGGGATGACCGCGGCAGCTTTCCAATCTCTGGGGATCTCAGACGTTACGAAAGAGGTTGAACAGGCTAGTAATAGGGGTTGCGACAATTTCGGCGGCTAGTTTTAGAAAGAAAGGGTCCAGATTGTCTAGCCCAGATGATTTGTAGGGGTCCAGATTTTGCAGCTCTTTCAGAACATCAGCTGTCTGGATTTGTGTGAAGGAGAAGCGGGGGGGGGCATGGGCAAGTTGCAGCGGAGGGTGCAGAGCTGGTGGCCGGGGTAGTGGTAGCCAGGTGGAAAGCATGGCCAGCCGTAGCAAAATGCCGTAACGGGTCCGCGGTCAAACGACCACCCCTCATCACTGTCAAACGCTCCCTAAAACACTTTAGTGAGCAGGCCTTCCTAATTGACCTGGCCCAGGTATCCTGGATGGATATCGATCTCATTCCGTCAGTAGAGGATGCCTGGATGTTCTTTAAAAGTGCTTTCCTCTCAATCTTAAATAAGCATGCCCCATTCAAAAAATTCAGAACTAAGAACAGATATAGCCCCTGGTTCTCCTCAGACTTGACTGCCCTTGACCAGCACAAAAACATCCTGTGGCGTACTGCATTAGCATCGAATAGCCCCCGCGATATGCAACTTTTCAGGGAAGTTAGGAACCAATATACACAAGCAGTTAGGAAAGCAAAGGCTAGCTTTTTCAAACAGAAATTTGTATCCTGTAGAACTAACTCCAAAAAGTTTTGGGACACTGTAAAGTGCATGGAGAATAAGAGCACCTCCTCCC